CGTGTAGTAACACCCGAAGAGTGGTCATCTTCGGGGTAGGTGCGAAGGTCTGAAAGAAGTCAACTCCCTCGCGCTGACTGAAACCTCTAGCCACGTAGCGCGCCTTGAAGACCGGGGGAGATCCCGGTGGCCGCTTCACCCTGTAGATCCACATGCCGTCGACTACGTTCGCCCCCGGGGGGGGAACCTCATCGACGTAGGTGCCTGTGGATCTGTAGGAGGCCATCTCTGCGTCCATGGCAGCTCTCCACTGAGAGGCCCAAGGCCCTGACACTGCCTCAGCGTAAGTGCGAGGAGTCGGAATGTCAAGGGCGTCGGGGTCACCCTCAGGGGCGAGGAGCATGGCACAGAGATGAGGGGAAGCGGCCGCCAGGAACTCTAGCTCAAACTGCCTGTCCTCTAGGGCGTCACGGCCAAGGGCAGACACACCCCCGACGGCCAGAGGACTGGTAGGAGGAGCAGCCACAAGCGTGGTGGCGTAGTCAAGGCGGCGGGTAGAGGCAAAGTCAGTAACTGCGGCAGTAAGAGCGGACACAGAGGACACAGAGGCACGAGGGTGAGTAACAAGAGAGGCGAGAACACGAGAGAGAACAGGACGGTACGTGCGGTAGTAGTCAGTGACAGGAGTAGGGAGCGACACAGTGAGGGCCGACTCAGGAGGAGACGGAAGCACAGACTGAGACGGACGAGGTGGACTAGAAAGAAGGAAGGCAGTACGAAGGTCAGTGAAGGGAACAGGAGACGAGGGACGAGCACGAGGGGAGCGACGAGTAGCCCAAGAACGAGACGGAGGAGAAGAGGACAAGGGCGGAGAACTGGGGAAAACAGCGGGGGAGGAGTCAGGAGGAGGAAACGTGGGACCGTAGACAGGAGGAGAGGCGGAGGAGGGAGGAGAAGGGGAGGGGAGACCAAGGATCCGAAGACCCGAGACAGGAGGAGGAAGTGGCTGCTGCTGCTGCGGCTGCGACTGCTGCTGCTGCGGACGCGGCTGCTGCTGGGACTGCTGCTCCTGCGGGTCCAGCTGCTGCTGCTGCTCCTCCAGCCGCTGTAACTCCCTCTCCTCTCTCTCCAACGCCAGCTGATCGTCACGGGCACGGCGAACACGAGCCTGGTGCCTAGTCGGGTAGGGGTGGGGGGGCGGAGTAGTGTCCGAAGCAGCGGCAGCTCCAGAGTCCACTCCAGAAGAACTAGGCTCACCACCCCCAGAGGCAGCACTAACACCAGCTCCAGACCCAGGCTCACCTGAACCCAAAGGAGGCGCACCCTCACCCCCAGACGCAGCACCCCCAGTGTCCGCGCGGCCAGCACCAGCTCCCGGACGACAAGCGTCCTCTGCACCCACCTGGTCAGCTCCAACTCCAGAACCAGAAACTCCAGCTCCAACCCCAGCTCCAACTCCAGCACCCCCAGAACCAGAAACTCCAGTGCCAACTCCAGCTCCAACTCCAGCTCCAACTCCAGCTCTAACTCCAGCACCCCCAGAACCAGAAACCGGTACAGGAACAGGCGTCGCACCAACCTCTCGAGAGCTAGCACCAGCGGCACGCTGCGAGGAGGACTGTGGGGAGGGAGGCTGTACCGGAGGGGCTACCGAAGGAGGAGGGGTAGCCTGGGACACACCTGACGGGGCTGGACCAGGGGGGGGAGGCTGTACCGGGGGAGCAGGAGGGGGAACGGCAGTCAGGAAGAGGGGGGGAGGAGGAACCGGGAGACCTCGACTGGGGTACCTGACGTAGTACGGAGTGGACTCCTCGAAACGGACGTCACGGGAGTCAAAGAACCGGTGAGAGGGAGGGTGGTAAAAGGTGAAGTCAGAGGAGTCCTCAGGGAAACCAAGGAAGACACAGGGGACGGCACGAGGCGAGAGCTTGTCCGCGGAGGTGTCGCGGACAAGAGCCAAGCACCCCCAGACACGAAACCGCGACGCAACACCAGGGAACCCTGTCCAAAGACTGGTCGGTGAAACCTCTGGTCGAGAGACACGTGGCCAGAGGTTCAGCTGGTGCGCGGCGTACCTGACCGCGTAGGGCCACAGAAAATGGGGGGCACAGGCGTGAGTCAGGGAGGTGCGGGCGATCTCCATGACCAGGCCTATGCGGCGCTCAGCAACCCCATTCTGCTGTGGGGACTCTGGAAGCGTCCAGGACTGACGAATGCCCTGCTCGCGACAGAATCCAGCGAGAATGCCGGAGCGAAACTCACCCCCACGGTCGGAGTGGAGACAGCTGACACGACGACCACGAGTGTCCTCGGTGGTGAGCAACCACCTGATCAGCGTAGAAGTCACCTCAGACTTCTTCGCCAGAGGGAACACTGTGGTGTAGCGGGAGAAGTCGTCAACGACCACCAGAAAGTAACGCTCACGCTCAGGGCCTAGACGAGGGGCTGGGCCCCAGACGTCCAAGTGAAGCGTCTCAAAAGGCTCGGTGGCCGGACGAAGGGAGGAGGAGTGAGGGGTGGCGCGCAGCCTACCCTCGACGCAGGGACGACACGGCGGCGCAGGCGAAGGCGGCAGCGACGGCAAGACACGTGGGAGGCCTAGGACAAGACGCTGACTAGACATAGCGCGCAGACGTGGGAGGGACGGGTGCCCCATCCGGTGGTGCCACAGAACGGTGGGGTGGGCAAGCGACCGGCAGGAGCACGACGCAGCGACTGGAACAGACGGAGGAACCTGACACGACACAGACACCTGGGGGGACGTAGCAACCTGGTGAGACGCGGGGACCCGAACGGGGGGGGGAACCGGGGGCAGTGGCAGTAGGGGGGGCTGCTGGTGCGGCCGCTGGTGCTGCTGCTGCTGCTGCTGCTGCGGCTGCGGCTGCTGCTGCTGCTGCGGCTGCTGCTGCGGCGGCTGCTGGGAGGAAAGGGGCTGCTGCTGCTGCTGAAGGTGCTGCTGACGCTGAGCCTGGTACCACGCCGCTGCTCCACCTAGCGGGGCCGACAGTACAGGAGGCGACTGACGAGCTCGAGGGTCGCTGCCACCAGCAGGTGCAGTGGAGTCACCGGCCGCTGCACGAGGGGTCTCTCCAGACGCTGCACTCCCACCACCGCCAGTCGCAACAGCACCCCCACTACCTCCGCTACCTCCGCCTCCACCTCCACCGGAACCACCTTTCTTGCCCCCCCTGCCGCGGGACCGCGACGCAGTCGTAACAGCAGCCGCAGTCGCGTCAGTAGCGGCAGTGGCAAGAGAGGCAGTGAAGGTGGGTAACTGCGGGACTGTGCACCCGTGGAAGAGTGGGGGGGATACAGTACCAGAGGCGGCAGCTACCGAACGAAGGTTGCTTTCGACATCCTTGAGTGCAGACTCAAGGACCTCGATAGTCAGCTCACTAGGGTGCTTCAGCAGAAGCGCGTCACGAACGGAGGCAAGGCGGTCAGGGAGGCTAGTGGCGATGAAATAGACAGTAATCGCCATGGGGGGAGGAAGCAGTGCAAGCTGTGCCTCAGTGCAAGCAGCGCGGTAACTAGCGTCAAGCGAGCGGAGGTGAGCGATCAAGTCAGCAGAGCGCTCAAACGAGGCAAGATCAGGAAACAGGAACGGGAGGAAAAGACGGCCGAGAGAGACAGTAGCGGGAGTAGAGTAGCGGGCCTTAATCGCAGTGAGGTACGCAGCAGCGGTGCGAACCTGAGTAAAGTGGACCTCCTCGGACTCAGGGAGGAGGCTGCTGAGTGCGATGCAGGCCGCAGCGTCACGCGACGTCCAAGCCGTCCGGTCAGCGCGCTGACGGGCAAAGCGAGCCGTAGCAGCATCGTCAGGAGCAGGGCCTAAAGCTGTAGGCTCGGGGGGCTCGGGGAGGTCACCAGTAGCGTGTGACCAGAGGGTCTCGCCCCCCTGGACCTGACTCTCTAACAGACGACGAGCGCGAAGAAGCCAGACGGAAAAGTCAAGGGGTCTACCGTCGGCGTCGAAACGAAGAACTCGCGGAGTCGCCATAGTGAGAACGAACAGGCGAGTAACAACCGGGGGGGGAAGAGGACTCAGTCGCAGCGGAAGAGTGGGCTAGGACGACGGGCCAAGACGTAGGGTAGGGCAACGGGCCAGGGCCTAGGGTAGGGCGACGGGCCAGGGCCTAGGAAGGGCGACAGGCCAGGGCCTAGGGAGGGCGACGCGACGGGGGAAAGGTCAGGGCGACGCGACGGGGCAGGGCGACGCGACGGGACAGGGCGACGCGACGGGGCAGGGCGGCGCAACGGAGCAGGGCGACGGGACAGGGCAGGGCGACGCGACGGGGTAGGGCGACGCGACGGGACAGGGCGACGGGACAGGGCAGGGCGACGCGACGGGACAGGGCAGGGCGACGCGACGGGACAGGGCGACGCGACGGGACAGGGCGACGGGACAGGGCGACGGGACAGGGCGACGCGACGGGACAGGGCGACGGGACGGGGGGGGGTAACAGGCAGGCGCGACGCGACGGGGGGAACGGGCGCGACGCGACGGGGGGGAACGGGCGCGACGCGACAGGGGGAACGGGCGCGACGCGACGGGGGGAACGGGCGCGACGCGACGGGGGGAACGGGCGCGACGTGACAGGGGGAACGGGCGTGACGCGACGGGGGGGGAACAGGCGTGACGCGACGGGGGAGATGACGCTAGGCTCGGTACTAGGCGCGGTAACTACGAAACTGGTACGAACGAGAGGTAGGATCAGGCTCGGGAGGTACGAACGGAGAACGGAGGAACGGGATCCCACAGGATCCTAACCTAGCTGATACCATGTCAGAATGAGGAATGAGTGTTGCATTGATGTTGGTTGGGGTACATATGACAAACCCTAACTTCTGTACCCCCTAAGACAAACCTCACTACAGGCTACAACATTTGACAGCCATGACTTGAAGATTCATGCCCAAGCATTGATCACCGTTGTCTAAACATACTACCATGATATAGCGCAACAATCAACGATTACCGTAGTTTATCAATCTGATTTCTAGAACGAGGACCAATGGGTCTCATTTACAGTGCTTTTGGATGACGACGGATTTGAACATCAGGTGTGTGACGCCATGCTGAGAAGCAGCGCAGAAGGGGGCGCACTAGTCATAAGACAGTGATGGGACGAACGACAGATGTGAGTTCCTTCTTGCAGCTCAGAAACTGGGCCTGCAAAAAAGGACAGGAGAGGTCAGACAGGATGTGGAAGGTGGAGGAGAGCTTGAAGTTTGGAGCCTACAGTATAGTGCGCGATGAGTAGTGCGAGATATGGAAGAGCGTGAGACAGAGTTGTGTGCAATAAAGTGTGCGACAGAGTTTGAGTGATTGACCGAGCGGTAGAGTGTGAGAACGTGTACAATTGAGCGTGAGGCTCCACATCATGACAAGTCATTCTTCCTGCAGCATAGACTTTCTCCCTGTGGATGGAAGGGCATGTGAGGTGAAGATAACAAGGGTGGGCCCACCTGCAGGTAGATGGTGATGTCTAGGGAGAGAGTCCCCATACTGCCCACCAGCCATGGCAGGTTGCCACTCAGTGCCGCCCTGCCATGCACACCGCACACACAAGGGCATCACGCTTCACTTCCAGAGGTTCCCCTGAATGCACTTGCGTGCAGGGCTGAAGAGAAGGGGCTTGGAGCAGAATAGCGTACAGAGAAGGGGCGCGCAGCAGAATAGCGTACAGAGAAGGGGCGCGCAGCAGAATGGCAGTGCCGTAGGTGAGGTTGCCGCAGAAGGCGCAGAGGAACATGGCCATGGAGAGCCCCTCTGCTGACCCGCGCTCCGCGTTCTGCCAGATCTGCGACACCCGCGAGCCCAGGTAGAAGCCCGCTGACACCCACCTGGTGAGGGAGAGGTGTGAAGGAGAGGTGGGAGGGAGAGGTGGGAGGGAGAGGTGGGAGGGAGAGGCGTGAGGGAGAGGTGTGAAAGGTGAGTGGGAGAGGTGTGTGCGAGAGGTTTGCGGGAGAGGTATGTGGAGATATGCTGGAGTGGCCAAGATGCCATGGATGACGGATGTCATGCAACGGGGGATGCACACACCCGAGCATGAGGCCCAGCTGGTGAATGAACTTGCTGGGCTCCTTCCTCCGCCGCTTCCTCTCCGCCCTGCACGCTGCCATCTCTGCATCCCCCTCCTCCCTGTCCCTCTCCCTCCCGCCCCTCTCCCCCGCGTCCTTTTGCTCCTTGCTCAGTCTGTCAGCGAGTGGAAGCACAGGGGGAAGCAGCTGCAGCACCACACCTGCCTCCCTACCTGCCAAACTGCCACCATCACTCACTGCACTGCCACCATCCGCACGCGCAGCAGCAGCACCGGTCCGGCAGTTGGGGTGGTGGGGATGCAGCAGGCAGAGCGTGCTGTTGCCAGGCCTCGCTCTCCCCACCTCCACACCCGCCTGCTGCTGCCACGCATGCCGCTCCCCCCGCAGCTGATGCCACTGTGCCTGCCTCTCCCTCGCCTGCACTGCCAGCAGCTTCCTCCCTGCCGCCGCCTCTACCTCACCTGTCCCCCACCACGCCCTGCTGCACTTGCCCCCTCTGCACGGACCAGCGCCAGTGGGTAGTGCTGTAAGCGCATCCCCTTGATCTGCAGGGTTGAGAGCAGAGGACGCGAGTGCCAGCAGCATGAGCGAGCCCAGCAGCAGAGACAGCGCCCCCGCCTTCTGCGGCCTGGGCCCTGCTGCCCCTCCACCAGAAGAGTTACCTCCCTCGGATGGACCTTCCCCAGTGGTAGCAGGCACGGTGGCAGCTGCACTTGCTACAGCAGCCGAGGCACCCGTTCCCTCAGCAGCTGTCCCCTCCTGCTTCACGTGACCCCCCTCTCCATGCGGGGCCCCACCCTCACGCCCGTGCCCGCCTCCCGCCCCACCCACGCCTGCTGCTCCATGCCCCTCCCGCCCTGCGCCCATCCCTCCAGCCTGCCCCTGCTCTCCCCCCATCAGGGCTGCAGGGCTGGGCGCGGGGGCAGCGGGGTGGTGGTGGATGGTGAGGCGGGCGTGCAGCAGCGGAGGGCCGTGCTCCAGCCCATACTGCTCCACCACCCGCCGCACCTCCCGCCCGCTGTACGCCCTGCGCCTGCGCCCCTCGCCGCCCGCGCCCTCCCCGCCCTTCCCCCCTTGCTCCTCGAACTGCACTCGCCCCGCCTGCCCCCCGCCCCTGCGTCCCTCTGCTCCCCCTGCCTCGTCAGCAGTCGCACGTCTCCTGCTGCATGCACCCGCCACCCCTGCCCCGCCCGTCCCTCCGCCTGTATTGTCTGACGCCACAGGGAACAGGTCCGCCCGCCCTTCCCCCTCCTCAGCTATCCGCAACAGCCTGCCCCGCCCATCCCCCCGCGCTCCTGCGCCCTGTTCTCTCCGCCCAGCAGCATTGAGCCGCCGACCCACTGCTTTTACTGCTACGTCTTCTTTTCCTGCCACGTCTGCTCTTCCTGCCACGTCCGTTTCTCCTGCCACGTTTGCTTCGGCTCCGACTGCGCCTGCGTCTTGGGGAGGTGGGAGGGAGGGGGGCCGGGGGTCGGAGGCGAGGTGGGGCCCCTGCCAGGCGTGGGCGAGGAGCACAGCGCCTGAGCGGCCAGCCAAGAACGATACCGGGTGGTAATTGTGGTGCTCGTGCCGGTGCTGCTGCTGCTGCTGCTGCTGCTGCTTCTGTCTGTGCACGTGACTCTCATGCTCTGCTGTCGCTGCCGCTGCCCCGCCAGCCACAACCTCTCTATAAGGCAGCTCGTTCTCTAAAGCGCGGATTTCCTCCACAGCACGTCGTGGCTTCCCCTTGGGGGGCGACACTACAGACAGCGCTCTGCTGACCGCCCCGCTGCTGGCGGCATCCGCGTGATCTGCGGGCGCGGCGGGCCTGGCGGACAGGAGCGGGCGGCGGAGGGCGGCGGAGGGCGAGGAGAAGGCGGCGGCGGCTATGAAGCCGTCCTGCTGCGACGGCGCGCGCGACATGCAGTCCGCGTCGAGCTCGAGCGAGTCGCGGTTCTTCAGCTGGTAGTACACGTACTGCGGGGAAGCGCGGTGGGGGGAGGGGAGAGAAGAAGTGGGTTGGGTGGTGGCAAAGGGCGAAAGAGGAGGTAAGGAAAAAGGGGGGGAGGGTGGGAAGAAAGGCGGGAATGCGTAGCTTAAGGCACGGCGAGTCCGCGGCGACAGCTGCGCAGACCGGTATGACTCGGGCATCTGAGTCTCGCACTGGGACATGCGCGCGCGCGGGCGGTACCCGGCAATGCGACGTGCGCGCGGGCGGCACCTGGCACTGCGACGTGCGCGCGCGGGAACGGTGGTACCTGCGCGATGATGCAGCAGTCGGCGAAGATGAAGTAGATGGCGGTGAAGGTCTGCGTGATGAGCTGGCTGCCGGACAGCAGACAGCCCAGCAGATTCAGCAGATCGCCCTGCGCGCACAGGCGGACGCGCACGCGCAAGCACACGCACACGCGCACGGAAACACACACGCACCCGCACCCGCACACGCACACGCACACGCACACGCACACGCATACACGCGCAGACACGCACACGCACACGCACACGCATGGAGGTGAACAGAGCATGGGAGGCAAGCACGCAATGACGTCATGGCGTCATCTCCAATACATGTCCCGAACATCACGACCACTCTGTAGCTATCTACACTTGGAGAGAAATATCTACTTCCGTGGGAAGAACTTTGCGCGGAAAGATAGGGCACGAAACGCATGCGAGTGTGGGGGGCCGGAAGCGGCGCGTACGGAGAGCCATTGGAAGAGGAACCAGGGCGAGAGCGCGTCAGCGGACCCGACGCGTATATTCTGAATGAACTGCGGCAGCTGCGCGACGAGCCAGCAGCCGATGGAGGCGAGGCCGACCAGGAAGGAGAGGAGGTCCCAGCGCGAGTACACGCAGTCCTGAAACCAGTCGCGGATCCACTCCACCGCGCCCGCCTCGCACACGCATTTCGAGAGATCCACGCCGTCCATTGCGGCGCGGCGAGGCTAGCTTGAGATGAGGATGACTTCGCGAACGAAGGGAGGGGTGCATGTTCTGGCGGGGAATATGATATTGGGTGGTGATGGACTTGGTCGATTTGCCATGGCTACCACGTCGTGAGTGAGAAATGAGGCTAGGGAGCAGAAGAAAGCGTGCGGGTCACTGCCCTTCGTTACCGCCTGCGGCGTTCCTGTCGGCTGGCCATGCAATGGCTGGCAGGAATCGCTGATCAGAAGCTGGGTGCGTCGGCCATGGATTTCATCAGGCTTCAATATGGGATTGACTCGAAACAACTTCCAGGAGGCCTAGGAGGTTGCGGGCGGGTGCGACACAAGTGCCGTCGGTGCGCTGGCGTGCGACGGGATCCACGCGCAAGTCGACCAGCATTGGCCGGAATATCCAACTCGATCCAAGGCCGGATCACACTTGACGAGCGGGGATTTGTGAATTGTCGAGAAATGTGGTGCGCGTGGCGACAGAGAGGTTGCGTATGGTTGGCGAAAGCGGTTTCGTCGCACGTCAGTCGCAGCCAAGGGGATGAGGCGAGCCAACACGAGTAACAAAAGAGGTGATGACGCAACCTTGACTCATGGATTGTCGCGGAGGCCAGTTCTTGTCTGCCACACAAGACTCGTGCTGCCGTGTCGGTTGGAATCGCGATATAACCTCCGAAATGGGTCGTACGATCTGGAAGACGAAGGTATGATAACTGTTTAGAGTAAAAATACCTTTCTATAGTAAGGAATAAATCCCGTAAAAAGACAAATACAAACAGGAGAATAACAAGCCAAAAAGCTACATGACCTTAGTGTCACAAATAAGCCCGCAAATTGGGCAAAAAAATGTGGGCTGCAAAATTCCCTGCACTACTACCCACTGGTCGTGGGAAAAAAATCAGCAACTAAGGATTGGCGAAAAAGCCCAGGCGTCGCTTGTACCGCTTCAGAACCGACGAGAGGTTCTCCTTCCCCTTGGGGAATGCCACATCCCCCGCCACCGTGCCGGTCCTGCCCTTGCGCCCTCCCACCGCCGCCTCCACTTCACGAATGCGGTCGAGGAAAAGAGCAGCACACGCCGGCCCCCGGTGGCCTGGTGGGCCGGGGAAGGGCCAGTTGGGGCTGGCGAGGGGGATCTGCGTGCCCCAGAGGGAGCAGGTGAGCAGCCCCTGGAAGAGGCGCTGTGCTGCCAGCGCTGGCTGCCCCGCTGCCTCTCCAAAACAGGCACACAGCACCGGCACTGGCCGAGGGTGCGAAAATGCAGGGTCCAGAACTCCCTGAAAGAATGCAATTATAAGGAGAGGGGGGACAGATGAGGATGAGAACATCATAACGACAGGTTTTGCTGCTAGACGCAGCACGATTGAAGAAGATGCAGGGATGCGCACTGGGGAAGGAGGAGAGATGGCTGACCTGCAGGCGGTTGAGCACGTAGGTGTATTTGCCCCACAGCTCTGGTCTGCTCTCCAGCTGCGACAGCTCCAACACCCGGTGCACACACCACACCCCAAACGACACCACCAGCGCCGGGCCCCACACACACCCAGCGCCGCACCCCCACACTCCCGCTGGCAGCACCCACTCCCCGTCCCTGCCGCCGCCACTGTGCGCATGCACGTGGTGGGTAGCTGTGTGCGTGAGAGAGGGAGGGGAGATGCGAGCAGAGAGTGCGGAGGAGGCGGCAAGCTTGCGGTCGCGGAGGGCGAGGGCGGCAATGAGGTCCTCGTCGGGGCCGGTGTCGAAGCGGAAGAGCCAGTCGCTGCCCTCCACTCGCAGCAAGCGCTGCACACACACCCGCACCGCCTCCACTCGCGCCTCCTCTGCCGCCGCTGCTGTGGCTGCTCCCATCAGAGGAATGGAGAGCTCGTGCTGCCTGCCCTGCTGCTTCTCCTGCTGCTGCGCCTGCTGTACCTGCTGCATCTGCTGCCAGCCAGGGTTGCTGGTCTGTCCCCCCTTGCTCACAGCAGTAGCGCCTAGCCATTGCTCTGCCAGGTCTGGTAAGTCTTGTGGGGGCATGGCAGGCCCATGCATGCTGCTCTGGATGCCCGCCACATGCATGGTGCTCCACTTTCCACTGCCCCCGCTGCTTGCTGCTGCTGCGCCCCGCACGGCCTGGGATCCATACCCCCACATGCCCCCACTGCCTGTTCGCTGCAGCGACCCCACTCTCCCGTTTGTGAGCGCAGCAGGAGAGGCAGCGTCGCAAAGCCCCAGATGGAGTGGTGCAGTGCGGTGTGGCCTCGTCCCCACCAGCTCATCCACCTGCTGCTCCCATGCACTGCCCATGATGCCCCCTGCACCACAACCAGCACCGCCACCAGCACCACCAGCAGCGCCGTCCATAGCAGTCCCAGCTCGACCCACGCTGCTGAACTCCGCATACTCGTGCTGCAACTGGCTCAGCTGTGCCAGGCTGGCAGCAGCATCCGCCACTTCACTCTCATCAACACTACCATCTTCCACCACTGCAAACCCAAGCGCCCCCACTCTGTGCTCCTGCTGATACACCTGCTGCTGCTGCTGAAAGGGACTCATGCGACCAGAGCCGAGCAGGCCGTGGCACTGCCCTGCCAGCCCGCCATCCCCCAGCAGGGAGGGGGTGTGCGCCCTGAGGCTGAGCCCCCCCAGCAGGTCGCCCCGCAGGTTGGGCGTGGAGCGGCTGGGACCCTCCACCTGCCACACCTGCCCTGCACCACCCACCCCACCGAGTAGCGCACCCCCTGTGTCCCCTCCCACTCCAACGCACATCCCCCCTGCCAGAGCCGAGCTCTGTGCCCCCTGGTTCATGCCCATTTCTGCATCCATGCCCATCCCTGCACCCATGCCCGCGCCCATGCCTGCACCCATGCCCGCGCCCACATAGGTGGGAGGCGGGAGGGAGGAGGGGGGGTCAGGCGAGATGCAGCGGCGGGTGGGGAGGAGGTAGGAGGGGTGCAGCAGAGAGAGCTCGTGCAGGGTGGGCAGGTGGGAGAGCGTGCTGTACTCGCGCCCTGCTGCTGCTGGTAGGTGGGAGAGCGTGCTGTACTCGCGCCCTGCTGCTGCTGCTGCTGCTGCTGACGATGGCTGTGAGGACGAGAGCAGCGACGCCATACCCCCACCCATGCTGCTGCTGTGCATAGTGCTGCTGGTGTTGGTGCTGCTGATGCTGCTGCTGCTGCTGCTTGGCACGGAGGCGGAGGGTGAGAAGGCGGGGGAGAAAGACGGGGAGAAGGGCTTGGCACTAGCTGATAACAGATGCGAGCCGTGAAAAGCAGACAGGGAAGCCTGCTTCGACACGTAACAGTCCACAGGCAAGCCCATGCCGCCCTGCGATGCACCTCCTGCTGCCCTCCCCGTGCCGCCCTGCCCTGCTGCCCCCAACACACCCTGCGCCCTCCCCTCCCCCACGCCCTGCCCGCGCCCATCCACCACCACCGCATGGCCATGTAAGTCAAAGATCGCCGCCCAGAACTCGTCCAGAATGGCGGCCACCTGCCTGCGCGCCCCTCGCCCCAGCCCACACACGCGTGACAGACTGCCGCTGCCACTCCTGCCACCGCCACTCATGCCACAGCTGCTGCTGCACACGGTGCTGCTGCTGCACGCGCTGATCCCGCTTCTACTAGCATGGCCAGCACCAGAGGAGGAGCAGGGGGCGAGGGCTGGCAGGAAGGAGGGCGCTGACAGATCTGCACACTTTCCCGAGAAACCCTTGCCACCCTTGCAATCAGGCACAGGGCCACTCTCCGGGTCACAGGGCTCAGTGGAGAGACTGGCCTTTCCCTCTGGTGGGTGCTTGCATGAAGGCTTTGCAGGGGTGGTTGCGGAATGGAATGGATCGTCCGGCAACGGCCCCACTGCTGACATCTCCCCCTTCTGCTCCCCTGCACCCGCCCCTTTGCTCCCCTCCTCCCCCACCACCTCTTCCCCTCGTTGCCGCACCGCCACCATCTGTTTCTCCTCCTCTTCTACCTCCTCCTCCCCAGCCTGCCCTGCACCCACCAACCCCCCTCCCACACCAAGCTTCGCCTCCCTGCCCTCTACCGCGCCCCCCAGCCCCTCCTGCTCTGCGCACTCTCCAGCGCCCCCCAGCTCGTCGCCCTCTGTGCTGGCGTGGGGGGCATCTGCAGCGGCCCCACCCGGGGCTGTGTGAGCCTTGCCCTTTGCTTCCTTCTCCTCCCCCTGCTCCTTCTGCTCCTTCTGCTCCTCCTGCTCCTCTTCCTTCTCCTCCTCTCTGTCGGGCAGTGATACAACCGATTTGGCATCTACAGTACGGGAAGCAACCGGGGGTGCACAGTCCATCACAGCACCTACTCCTTCCACCGCTGCTGATTCCTTCCTAACCGCGACCCCGCCCACTGCTAATGTTGCAGCCTCAACCACACTTTCATTGGCACCAGCTGCAGCAGCAACAAAACGTTCGGCGGCAGCAGGAACAGCAGAAGGTTTGGCAGCAACAGCAGCAGAAGGTACGGCAGCAACAGCCTCGGATTCAGCGCCAGAATGCTCCTCACCACCGTTCACTGGTTCTCCCTCTGCACTATGCTCCGCCCCCTCCTGCTCTCGCCCCTTCTGCTCTGCACTCCCTGCCCGCACAGCTTCTTGGCTCGCACCCACACACGCATCGCCAACCATGTCCCCACTCCCAACTCCCATGCTCCCCATCTTCTCCTCTCCTGCTCCCTCTTGCTCGTCTGCCCCTGCAAGGGACTCTGCCGCCCACTGCTGCGTCCCCTCCCACCCCTCCTCACCTTCGTCACACATCACCTGCTCCCTCCACCGCAACCCCCCCTCCCCCTCTTCCTCCACCCACTGCTGCTGCCACATCACATCATCCCCATCCCTCTCCTCCCCCACCACCTCCTCTCCGCCATACATCCAATCCTCCATCCCCTCGCCCATAACAGCTTCCTCCTCCCCCATGCCTTCATCCAGAACACCCTCCCCCGCCCCCTCCTCGTCCCCCTCCCCCGCTCCCTCCGACCGCAGAGGTACCCTCATCACCCACCCCAGCGCTCCCACCGCCGCTGCCACCACCACACTCCCCCCCACCGCCGCGCCCACCTGCGCCAGCCCATGCCACACCGCCCCTGGCGCCAGCGCCACTGCCAGCCCCGCTCCGCCCTCCTCCCCCGCCTCCCCCGCCCACGCCCCCCCCGCCAGCCACTCCCACAGCCCCATGCCCTCCATCTCCCCCGCATAGCCCTGCAGCAGCGCGGGTAGCGCGGAGGCCAGGGGCGCGAGGGAGAGCGCGGAGAGGGCGCAGCAGGCGAGGCAGGCGAGCAGGCGGAGGGCGGGAGGGAGGCGGCAGGGGCCCATGACGTGGGGGGAAGCCGCCAGGCGGATGAGAGGCGCGGCGGCCAGGGGTAGCAGGGGGGCGAGGGCGAGAGGCGCGGATTGGATCAAGCTGAGGGCGGAAGAGTCCCCTAGGAGGAGCGCGGGGAGGAGAGTGAGGAGAAGGGAGGCGAGGCGGGTGGCTGCGAAGGCGAGGTAGGGGGAGGGGTGGCGCGGAGGTGGGGAGGAAGGGGGAGCGGAGGAGGCGGGGGGAGGAGGGAAGGCGAAGGCGGAGAGCGCGAGCTGGGCGGCGAGGGTGGTGGAGGGCGCGAGGAGGTGCGCTGCTGCCAGCAGCACGAGCGCGAATAGCCCCGGCGCTGCCTTGGCCGTGAGCAACTGGTACAGGGGAGAGGCGTGGGACGGGAGGGAGGGCAGATGGGCGGAAAAGGACGGGGGAGAGTGAGGTGCTGTGCCGATGATACGGATCGTGCGGTGCAGGAAGTACATTCACAAATCTACATTACGTGCGGAAAGGGGAGGAGGGGAGGGGGGAGAAGGGAGGGAAGGTGGGGGGAGAAGGGAAAAAGGGGGAGGGGGGGAGAGGGAGGGGGGTAATGCGAGAGATAGTGCACACACAGACACACAGACACGCACGCACGCACGCACAAACATGCACACACACACACACACACACGCACACACACACACACACACACACACACACACACACACACACACACACACACACACACACACACACACACACCTGCACGAGGAGGCAGTGGCCGTCCTGCAGTGACAGCACGGACGGCGCGTCTGTCTCGTCCTCCTCATCCTCCCCCCTCCTCATCGCCCCTGCAGCAGCGCCCAGCACCAGCAGCACCGTTGCCACCAGAGCCAGCAACTGCGGCAGTAGCAGCTCCCCCCACCTCCGCCACCGCCGCCCCCCTGTGCACCTTGCGCCCGCCCCCTGCTTCTCTGGCTTGCGCTCCTCCGCGCCGGCCTTTTCCTGCGCGTGGGCAGGCAGGGCAGAAGGAAGGAGGAACAGACACGAGGCGCAAGAGGGTAGTGACATGGGGCATGAGAGACAAGACAAGCTACTGGAACGCGGAAGCAGCGAGCGGAGGTTTGACAGCACAGCACGCCGCAGCCGAACGAGCACACCCGAAAAAGGACGAGGGGCGAAGCGACGCAACGAAGCGACGGAGAGACGAAGTGACAACGCAAGGGGAGCGGGAACGAGGAGACGAGGGGCGCACCTGCCAGGCGAGCAGCAGGAAGGTGTGCGGCAGCAGACACGCGCCCAGCATCGCCGCGCCCATCCACGCGCTCTCCGCGGAGGGGAGAATAGAAGTGGGCGCGACGAGGGGGACGAGATGCGGGATGAACGCGGCGGGGGTGAGGAAGGGGAGGGCGGAGAGGCAGTGCAGGGCGCAGGAGAGGAGCAGCAGCAGCAGCAGGCTGACGCACAGCGACACCAGCTGCTGAGCCTGCGCGTGTTGGGGGGCGGAGAAACAGGGAGAGGCGGCGAAAGGCAGGGAGGCGGGGAGAGGTGAGTGGGATCGCAGTGACATGGGTGGGTGAGGAGCGCGCAGGTGTGGGAAGCAGTGTGATCGGCGGCAGAAGATGAGGACATGGGGCATGACTCATGCACGTGCAGTGACCAGCCGATTGCGCGTGAGAACGTATCTGGGCTTCCGCTGCCAACTTTCCACACCGGCCGCGGGTGAGCCACGCAGATAAAGCGCCCCACATGGCCGCGCGGTGGCAAGGGAAGAGAAAATTAAAAGGGGGGGTGGAAGCCTGGAGGGGGGACGATTTCGTAGCGGAGTCGCAATACGCGGAGGGGCGCACCTTGCCGGGAGGGGCGGCAATGGCGGCGAGGCCGGAGAGGGCGGAGAGCAGCAGCGCGGGCTTGAGCGCGAGCCCCGCCAGCAGCTGCAGCGCCGTGGCGGAGGCCCAGAGCGCGGCGATGTCGAGCGCGACGATGGAGGCGGCGCAGAGGAGCGGCAGCAGGCGGCGGAGGGCGCGCGGAAACTCGTGAAGCCAAACCTGCGACGAGGCGGAGAACACGGGGCGGATTCGTGAGCGGCTGAATGTGGGAATTCGCAAGCGGCGGAGTGCGAAATCGGGTAACAGCGGAGCGCGAGCTAGCGAGCGCGAACCTGAGGAACGGTGGCACCAGTGACGTCGACGATGCGCGCAGCCGCGTAATTGAGGAGCAGCGCGACGGCGTGCGCGAACAGCAAGAGCGGCAGAAGCGCCGCTCCGCCGTGGCGCGATGCGGCCGCGGAAAGAGCGAGCGACCAGAGGTGCGGGTTGAGCGACGCGGCGAGCAGCGCCAGGGGAAGGCCCATTAGAGACCACACGGGACACAGTGGACCGCTCCAGGCGGAGGGTAAAACCCGCGGGAGAAACGCCATGATGCGATAAATAGTACGCCTCGTACCTAGCGCACGGGTGCGGGACACGGACTACGATGTCCTTAAGGGGCTCAAGTCGTAAGCGGTCATCTCAGAACTACGCTATTAGCATGCGACGAGCACACGCAAAAAGGGTGACGACTGTCGGGATCAACGAATGCAAGATGAAAGCGAGCGCTGGTGCGTTGTTCGATCAGTTGGCACTGGATATCACTCTTTTGATGGTTCTTTGCTGCCCCTCTACTCGTTGCGCCATGCGTTGATATGGCTGCAGCAGACACACCCGGTTGCACGATCATCCAAGGGGGTACACCGGCCTGATTGTACCGCGTTGAGGTGATAAGAGCGCAATCCACACGACGCGTGACAGCTGGAACGACGCGCGAATATTGGTTCGACAGTGCGCTGCCAGGCTGGTCTGGGAGTGGGGGGATGGTGGGGAGGCTTATCTCTTTCTCTGAAAGTGTGACGCATACCATCTAACAAGAAAAACGACCTCTAGTATCGCATCTGGTAAACAACCGCCATGGACCAAGGTTTCCATTCTGTACCGTGCACTTTGCTCGCCTGGCAATCGTGCTCTACATACAACCAACCAGGGACAATTGCGCAGGCGGAGGAAATTAATGGCGTTCTTGCAGGTGCGCGAGCACGCCTCGCTTCTGTTCATCGCCACTTCCTCTTCAATTGATTTATCACAGCTTGCCCCGAAAGCGAGAAACAGAGCTTCCCGCTAGGTGAATGAATAATGAAAAATAGAAAGGTTTGAAATGTTTTCGATCGGTTTCAGCTGGTTAGAGCGGTTTTTAAAAGGCTTGATTTGAGGTGGCTGATTTGGGCTCCTCTTCCCCCACCCACCACTTCCTCCTGCACGCCTCGCATCCGCCTTGTGCGCTGCAGTCTTCCCCCTGCAACTCCAGCTGGACGCCTCGCTTCGCTTCCCCCGCACGCACCTCGATCAAACCTCTTTTCCCCGCCAGACCGACCGCCTCATTGCCCCAAGGTTCTCCTCTGCACTTTTTCATCGGCAGCCGCCAATGACAAGCCGTCCTGCCTGAAGGCATCTGCCCGTGTGGGCCCACAGGCAAACCTGGTCGACAGCGCAGCAGCGCTGCCAACGCACGCCGCACTGTGTACCACCGCACACCCCGGCGGACGGTGCAGATTCACGTGTCTATTGATTCCATGATGGACGCTCCAAATCTAGGGCTGGCCTCTGTTGTCGCGGGGAATCTGACCCTGTTTCGATATTACGTGTGCCACCAGCCATATTCGTCTCAAATAGATGCGCAAAAATCCAGTGTATCTACAAGATCATGCGTGTACAATATGGGTGTAGAATCACAATGGTATGGATTTTTTAGTTACTTCTCCTTGTAGGAACTACTAAAATGGAGCCGCATAATCCTTCTCAATACTATGTTTAATACAGAAAAAAATAAAATTTCCTACCTGCTCGTGATGTGCATAGGATAATGGACTCACACCAGATACGCTAATGGGGATTAATTGCATTTCCAATATATACATTAGACTGAAGGAGAAACAAACTGCTGTTACAAATGAACTGCCTTTTCAACTTCAGGACGCGTACCTACTTTAGAACCTGGATCAAACGTTTAAAACGTGGTTCAGAACGTTATCAAACGTTTAAAACTCATAAGCACGTTTAAAGTACGGTGAGCAATCGGTTTCGCAATATTGATCGTGGAAATTTGAAACAAGGGACGCCTCATTGTCGAAACTGCTTTCTAGGCGAGAGCACGGTCAGTGTGAACGAGCCTGCAGTGCCACCGTCACTGCGGTCACTGTTTGCTCGCATGAACGACGTGATCACCTGTCTGTCACTTCCCCATGCTCGGTCGCCAGCGACTCCCTTTGCGCTTGGAGTAATTATTTTAGTTCATTGTAACGCTCAGTAGTTAATACGGTGATCTTTGAAGCGTTTAAATCGGGTTGGTATGTAGCAGATTCCGTCGCGAGCGAACTTAGGACGGTGTGGAGTCGAGTTGTGACGATGGATTTTGGCAGGAGGCCATGACGACGCCAGCGAGCACTTTGGGTGGTATAGTCAAAGGCGGTGAGGCTGCGACGACGTGCGACACTCCAATCTGTTCGCGAATTTTCGGGAATTGAGAGATCCCCAGGAGCCGAGCGACATGGTGGGAATGGTACGTCTGGGATGCGAGGAGCACGTTAGACGCGCTTCGCGTGCGTAGAGCCGATCAAGGTTACGAACCAGTGCGGAAGATTCAGGATGTGAATGAATTTATTCCAAGGCTCACGCGATTACTATGCTAACGAGCGATTCGCGTCCCCGTCCCTTCTCCAGGACTTGCAATGGTACAACCAGACGCGATTACTCCACGCTGACGTGGCAGCCGATGGCGAGGGGATAGCTAAGAGCGAGGCGAAGGCGAGGCCGGATGGGACGGCGGCGGAGAAGGCGGGGAGGAGAAGCGCGTCCCGACGCAGCAGGAAGGGACGCCGCGCTGGCGACGAGCTATTGGCCGCGCGCGACGCCGCGGACGCCGCTGACAGCGGCGAGGAGTGTGCGGGTGATGATAGGGGTGATGGGGTTGACAGGGCAGCGGCAGACGCAGTAGCCGTGGAAGCAGCAGCAGCAGCAGCCGGGGCAGGGGATAGTGAAGCGGAAACGGAGAGCGAGAATGAGACCCGTCGCCCCGTGCCGTCCATCCGCCCTCCTCGTCGCTCCGCCTCCCGCGCCTCAAGAACAGGCGGCAGCAGCAGCAGGGCAGGCGGCAGCAGGGCAGGCACGAGGCCGGGTCCGCCTGTGGCGCTGAACGTGCGGGACGACCGCGGGTGGACGATGCTGCACATCGCCAGCCACATGGGCAACGTGCGCATGGTGCGTGGTAACATGGTAACCGGGTATTGAGGTAGCTGGGTAGCGCCGTGGTTACAGGGTAGCACGGCAGGGCGACGTCGTGGATGAGCCATCACTGAGGCCGAAGCACTGAGCAAGCTGGTCCTGGGCGACAGCAAGCTGTCAGTGTTCTCTTCTCTAGCGCCAGCGCCCCAAATCCTCATTTTTTCCTTTCTTTCCCGCGTCCCTGGGTGACCCACGCACCCGCTTATTCCAGGTGCGGCAACCACTGGAGGAGGGAGATGTTGCGGTGGATGAGCCATCGTTGGGCCCGAAGCACGCAAGAGCAAGCTTTCAGTGTTCTCTAGCACCCGCGCCTCAAAATCCCTTTTTCTCTCTCTTTCCCTTTCATCCACCCAGGTGCGGCGGCTACTGGAGGAGGGCGAGGCGACGTGGCGGTGGACGAGCCATGAGTGTCGCTCATTGTCCCTTCCCCCTCCTCTTCCGTGTCTTTCCCACCCTCCCTACAACCCACCCTCGCTCCCTCCCACCCACCCAGGTGCGGCAGCTACTGAAGGAGGGCGATGTGGCAGTGGACGAGCCATCTCTGGGCCCGAAGCACGCTATCCTGGGCGTCCTGGGCGAGAGCAAGCTATCAGTGCTCTCTAGCACCCGAGCGTCAAACCACTATTTTTCCTATCTTTTTCCTAACCGTCCCCAACATACGCACCCCACCCACCCAGGTGCGGCAGCTACTGGAGGAAGGGGATGTTGCGGTGGACGAGCCATCGCTGGGCCCAAAGTACGCGGGGGCGACGGCGCTGCACCTGGCGGCAGCAGCGGGGCACATAGCGGTCATGGACGCGCTGCTGGAGGGCGGCGCTAATATTGAAGCGCGCACGCGCGGTGCCTTTGGCTGTGAGTGCCCACCTTCCTGCTCTTGGTGTCTGTGTCTTTCAGACGCCTCCTGCTGCACCTGGCGGCGGCAGCGGGGCACATAGCAGTCATGGTCGCGCTGCTGGAGGGCGACGCCAACATTGAGGCGCGCACACGTGGCGCGTTTGGCTGTGAGTGCTCCCCTCGCACACACCTGAGCCTCATCGTTGCCTGAACGCTGCTGCACCTGGCGCCAGCAGCGGGGCACGGAGGACATGCAGGACCCGTGCTTCAACCCGCCACCATTGCTGCAGTGCAGGGCGTGCTCTGTCCCAGGTACCCTGTTCATGTCTCCCCATTCCCCCCTTTCTCTCTCGACTCACATCCATCGTTTCCCCTCACCCTCCCTTCGCTCTTCCCTCTCAACCACCCCCCTCACTCCCTCCCCTCCTCCTCTGCCCCAGGGACCCCCTTGCACCACGCGGCGCGGCACAATCGACGGCGAGCCATCCGATTCCTCCTGGAAAGCGGAGCATTCCTGGCGGAGGACATGCAGGACCCACGCTTCAACCCGCCGCTGCACTACTGCCGCAGCCTGCAGTATGCCTACCAGCTGCAGCAGAGCATGAGTATGGGGAATGGCGGTGGGGAGGGGAGTAGCAGTGGGGGAGGTAGCGAGTTGGAGAGTGGGAGCGGTGTGGAGGGAGGGGTGGTGGGGGAAGGTGGGGAGGAGGGAGAGGAGCCGGTGGTGGGAATTTGAGGGAGGGAGGGAGGTGAGCATGCAGAGAGTGGGGCGTTCCTAGCAGAGGAGAGGACATGCAGGACCCGCGCTTCAACCCGCAGTATATGTATTTCTGCTCTGGTGTCTATGGTCAACCCGCCACTGCACTACTGCCGCAGCCTGCAGTACCGTATGCGTACCAGCTGCAGCAGGCAATGTCTGGGGAAGGTGGTGGGGAGGGGAGTAGCAGTGGGGATGGCAGCGAGGGGGGCAGTGGGAGCGGTGTGGAGGGAGGGGTGGTGGTGGGGATGGGTGGGGAGGAGAGGGAGGTGGTGGATCAAGAGCCAGCCGAAGCCTGCCATGCCAACCATAGCTTGTCGACCATGGCCCATCCCGTCCACTGTGGCTTCCACATCAGTGCAATGTGCAAGTGGCTGTGTAGGGTTTGAGATATGGTACGTACGGTATGGTACGAGTGGCGGTGGTAGAGTCAGCAGCTGCAGGTCATGACTCGTGACATGTGGACGGAACATGTGCCAGCTTTGGTTAGTGGCATGTCAACTCAACTCAACTTGAATGTAGTGTAGGCGGATCAGATTTACGGTAGTATATTTCTGTTCAGGTGACGCTGCTGTAGTATGGTGATGTGCACTAAGGTAAGGAGTGGTTTGTTGGCTTCATCACTTGTTGAAGACTTGCTGTGATGAACAGTGATAATGAATTGGAACTCACAATACAAAATCCAATCCATGAAATTGCACTCTTCATGCAGACACTCTCCCTAACCTCGAGGCAGTAGCACCAAGGATACACATGTATTAGTACACTATCACCATTCCTAACTAGACTAAGGTACCGGTACCTATCAGTTGTGTATATGTTTGAAAGACAAAAAGTTGTCATATACCCCAGGTGCACTTCATGTGTACGGTAGGTCTAATCACCACCCTGCAATCAACCAGCCAACACAGCTGCACTAAAACAGAGCTCGAGAGACCACAGAGGAAGCTAGCTGAACTCGCTTCGTGAAAACCCAAGGCTCCACCCCATGCTAGTAGTTGCAGTTCATGCGTACAAACACACCGGGGACGGAAACAATTACGACAGCTAAGCATCGTTATTCACTGCAGCACCGCACACCACCTCACTGTGCTGCATTGCTTTGCTCTCCCTCCCACTTCTCTGCTCTGCACTGCTCCACAGCAGGCACCCGTGGGGGCTCAGACTTCAAAGTGCGGGCACGAGTCAGTCGTCAAACTCAGCGCCGTGCTCCAGCAAGTAGTTGGCAGCGAGCTCCTCGTTCTTGTCGCACGCGAAGAATGCCTCCACCACCAGGTCGCGATCGAATCCCATCGCCTCCAGCTGCAGGGGGCCACAGGGCCGAGTGGGGCAGGGCACAGGGAACAGAGCACAGGACACAGGGCCGAGTGGGGCAGGGCACAGGGAACAGAGCACAGGACACAGGGCCGAGTGGGGCAGGGCACAGGGAACAGAGCACAGGACACAGGGCCGAGTGGGGCAGGGCACAGGGAACAGAGCACAGGACACAGGGCCGAGTGGGGCAGGGCACAGGGAACAGAGCACAGGACACAGGGCCGAGTGGGGCAGGGCACAGGGAACAGAGCACAGGACACAGGGCATGAGTGGCGGAAGAAAGAAGGAAGCAAGTAGTTGGCAGCGAGCTCCTCGTTCTTGTCGCACGCGAAGAGTGCTTCCACCACCAGATCCCTGTCAAACCCCATCGCCTCCAGCTGCAGGGGACATGAGGCACGACGCACACACGTGGCGCACAATTCACGAGCATTGGCACATGCATGCGGCATGGTCCAGCAGCTGAATGCCATCCCCATCCATGTCATGCCTCATTCATCCTTCCACTGTAATGCCCATCTGTGCTACAGCCCGTGCAATCGCCTCTTGCCCCTCTCACCCGTGCGATGGCCTCTTGCTCCTCCGGGGTGACTTGGATTGCTCTCACGCCTGGCGGCAGGCCCTCTCCCCCTGCTGCCGCCGCTGCTGCCGCCTCCAGCTGACTCATCAGCTCACTGTGAGAACAAAGAGGGAAGACATGGATAGGTGGGAGATGGGAGGGACGGATGGAGAAATTGCGGGATGGATGGAGAAATTGAGGGGAAGCTGGGGAAACGGATGCAGGGCGTCGGTGCGAGGCAATGCAGGGGGTGAGATGAGTGAGTGTAAACGAGAAGCACAGGGAGTGCGAGAGCGAGTGTTTGTGAGGGAGAAAAAACGGAGCCCTTCTGAGGAAAAGGGAGGGGAGTAATTGTGTGAGAGAGAGAAACGACACAAGGTAGGGAGGGAGAGGTGCGTGGGTGAGATAGACAAACCCTTCTGGGGGCGGCTCGTTGATGAGTTGGAGGAACTACGTCTGGTGCGCCTGGATTAGCCGCAGCAGGTCGGGGTTCTGCTTTTGAGGCGCCTCAAAATACGACACTGGCACTGGCACTGGCACTGGCACTGGCACTGGCACGAGGAAGACAAGGGATCCCGCACAGGTGGCTCTTACCCTTCTGGCGGCGGCTCGTTGATGAGTTGCAGGAACTCCGTCTGGTGCGCCTGGATTAGCTGCAGCAGCTCGGGATTCTGCTTGCCCAGCTCCTGTAGCATGGGCTGGTGACGTGACGGGAGATTTGCGAGAGAGGGATGGTGGGAGGGGGGAGAAAGGGACGGGTGTGGGGTTGAGGTGAGGGCGATGGGGGATGGTAGCTCACGGTTCTGCTTGCCCAGCTCCTGTAGCATGGGCTGGTGGTGTGGGAGAGAGGGAAAGTAGGGGTGGAGCAGTTGAAAGGGATGGGTGTGGGGGTTGGTGTGAGGGCGATGGAATTGGGGATGGTAGCATGAATGAGGTGCAGCAGCTGGGTATTCTGCTTGCCCAGCTCCTGTAGCATGGGCTGGTGACTGGGCAGATGTGGTAGAGGGGGGCAGGACAGGAGGGGGAGGGGTTAAAGAGAACGGGACGGGAGTGGAGGTGAACGAGGTGCAATATCGAAATCACTTTTGAGAATGGAGGAGCTCAGCAGCAGCTCTCAAGAGTGGAGGGGAAGGAGGTGCGTGCAGCAGCTGGGGGTTCTGCTTCCCAAGCTCAGGGTTCTGCTTCCCAAGCTCAGGGTTCTGCTTCCCAAGCTCCTGTCTCATGGGCTGCGCTTGGGGCGAAGGATGGGAGGGAGGGGGGGGGGGGGGGGAAGGGACGGATGTGGTGGTGAAGTGTGGGAGACGGAGGATGGTGGCACGGTGGCATGGGTGGCATGGGTGGCATGGGTGGCATGGGTGGCACGGTGGCATGGGTGGCATGGGTGGCATGGGTGGGATGGGTGGCATGGGTGGCACGGTGGCATGGGTGGCATGGGTGGCATGGGTGGCACGGTGGCATGGGTGGCATGGGTGGCATGCGTGGGATTGTGGCATGTTGATCGCGGATGGTTGCATGGATGCATCTAGAAGTGGCAAGACGAGCTGAGCTACAAGGGAATGGTTTGGTGACTGGACACAGAGCCAAGGCATGAGAGAGAGCGAGTTGGTGCGGTGGGTACAAGCAGAGTGCGGACGGGGAGGGCGTACCTGCAGCAGCTGTGGGCGCGCTTGGACCATGGCTCTTAGCTCTTGGAACTGCCACGCAGCACACGCAGCACAGGCAGCACAGGCAGTAGAAGCAGCAGTGACAGCAACACCATGAGCATGAGCATGAACATAGGCATGGGCATCAGCAAGAGAAGAATTAGAAGCAAGAGCAGAATGAGAAGCAAGAGCAGAATTAGAAGCAAGAGCAGAATTAGAAGCAAGAGCAGAATTAGAAGCAAGAGCAGAATGAGAAGCAAGAGCAGAATTAGAAGCAAGAGCAGAATTAGAAGCAAGAGCAGAATTAGAAGCAAGAGCAGAATTAGAAGCAAGAGCAGAATGAGAAGCAAGAGCAGTAAGAAGAGCCTCACAATGGTAGGGCAAGCATTACCTCTACTGTACGCACAAGACCTGACCTGCTGTCACAATGCATCCCCTTGATTCTAAACATAAAACTCTTCAGCGCAGAAGCAGCCACTCACCTTGCACTGGTAACCACTCACCCTGCACTGGTAACCACTCACCCTGCACTGGTAACCACTCACCCTGCACTGGTAACCACCCACCCTGCACTGGTAACCACCCACCCTGCACTGGTAACCACTCACCCTGCACTGGTAACCACTCACCCTGCACTGGTAACCACTCACCCTGCACTGGTAACCACTCACCCTGCACTGGTAACCACTCACCCGGGGATTGTTTCGCAGGAAGTCCAGCGCCGCCGCTCCCTCTGCGCCTGCTGCTGCTCCCCCTTGCCCCGGCTGCCGTGAATCCACGATACAGGGAAAGAACATTCCACCAATCAGGGAGATGCAAAACTCAGGTCAGGTGGGATCAACAAGGCAGGACAAGGGCACGAGGAGAGGAGCGACACGATGAGAAGAGCGACATGAGGAAAAGAGCATTTTCTTGCACGGGAAAACAAGGTAAGCAGCGCAAGGGGGGACGAGACGTGGTGAGGGGTTGTGCAGACATGGGGACAGGACAGCGTGGGCCGACTGGGGACAACAAGCGGAATGGGTGAGAGGCGAGCAGACGTGCACCTAGGGGAGGAAGAGCACCTGGGAAAGAGCGCATCTGGGGGAAGAGCGCGCCTGGGGGAAGGGCGCGCCTGGGGGAAGGGTGCGCCTGGGTGAGAAGGCGCATCTGGGGGAAGAGCGAACCTGGGGGAAGAGCGAACCTGGGGGAAGAGCGCAACTAGGGAATAGAGCACTTGGGGGAAGAGCGCACCTGGGGGAAGAGCGCACCTGGGGAAACGCACCTGGGGGAAGAGCGCGCCTGGAGGAACGGCGCGCCTAGGGGAAGGGCGCACACCTGGGGGAAGAGCGCACCTGGGGGAAGAGCGCACCTGGGGGAAGAGCGCACCTGGGGAAAAGCGCACCTGGGGGACAAGCGCACTCGGGGGATAAGCTTACCTGGGGGAAGGGCGCACCTGGGCGCACCTGGGGGAAGGGCGTACCTGGGGAAAGCGGGTACCTGGGGGAAGAGGTTGAGGGGCGCGGTATTGGGGCCGCCTTCCATCGCCACGTCCTCCATGCCCTCCGCCTCCCCTCCCCCTCCCGCCGCTGGGGGCGCGCGCGCCACAGGCGGCGCGGCCGTCTCTGGTATACCCTGCGGAGTTGGGCACGGAATGGGGTTGTGCGGCGAAGTGGGGTGAGGTGGAATCGGGTGCGCACAGAGTGTAGAGGAGAGGCGGGGAATGCGCGTAGGGCGGTTAAGGAGTGTGATGCGGGATGACAAGAGGGGAGACAAGGTGAAAACCGGTGGAGAACGGTGACGCAAGGTGCGGTGCACTGCGGAGGGGTCGGGGGCGCGCACCGAGTAGAGGTACTCCACAGCGCGCTCGGGGTTGTTGAACGCCGCCCGCAGAGCGCGCAGCACCGTGTCGCGATCCCAACTGCCGCCGCCCATCTCCAGAATCTGCTGCACCGTCGACTCTAGGTGCGGTCCCGCCAGCAGCGCGGACGCCGCCTGCCCGTACACCCCCCCCGTCTCCGCCGCCGCCCCACTCCCCGCTTGCTCGCCCGCGGCTGCTGCGGGTGCGGCGGTGGCGGCAGGCGGAGCTGCGGGCGCTGCTGGAGCGGCGGGCTCGGCCGGCGCTGCGGGGGCTGCTTGCGCCGCTGGTGCAGCTGGCGCGGCCACTGGTGCCGCAGCAGGCGCTGGCGCAGGGGTCGCTGCAGGCTGGGGGGATGAGAAACATGACATCATATGCGCTTTATTAACGTTCCTAACTATCAATTAATAATTAACGGGGGCAACAAGCTACTCGACGCTCTAAAAAGAGTACCGGTTGGGGAAACGGAAGAGCAAGATGACGTACCGCTGCTTGCGCTGATGACGACGCCCCCGCGGCTCCGGGTTTAGGCTGCAAGCAGCAACGCACGCACGCACGAGAAAATCAGGGCTCAGGTCGACCACGACGACAAGAATCGTCCCGACGGGCTTTTGATGTGCCTCAAAAGTAACCATGCACGGCAAACTCAGGGTTCAGTACAGCCAAGTCGACATGAATCGTCCAACGGGCAAGAAACCGCGAGATCTACGGCGAGCACTGGAAGCGACAGAGAGCGGCGGGAGGTGGATCTGGAGAAGAGTGGAGGGCGAGACGCGCGACGTGGCAAGAAGGTTTTGACGTGATGTGGAAGAAGTATGGGAGTGACGTGGCGTACCTTTGTCAGCATGACGACGAGGAAGCCATTCTCCGAGACGTTGCTCTCGGCGAGCGTGGAGTCGTCTTTGAGCACCTTGCCCTGGTGGATCAGCAGCTGCTGCTCGCGCGGAAACGCCGCGCCCTGAATCTCAAAGATCTTCCCCTTCACCTCCGCCACCTGCGGGAGTGCGGGTCACAGGGGTTCACCGATGCACTCAATAGATTACTGGTATAAATCACGACAGTGCACCTATCAACGCCGCGCCCTGAACCTCGAAAATCTTCCCCTTCACTTCCGCTATCTGCGGGAATTCGACGGGTTCAGGGCACAGAGATTCGCTATGGTAAATCTTGATAGTGGATCTATCAGCGCGCAGGTATCCGAATGGCAGTTTCCGGTCCTGAGAGAGAATCTATCGGCGATGCATCGGCGGATCTTGGGTTATCTGAGGTTCGACGTTTCTTGCGTTGGAAAATGTTTGGCGGATCTTGCCTTGTCTGACGGCTCGACGTTGACGTCGAATTGAAGCCCCTTGAGGGTCTTCACGGTGACCTTCATCGCCCCACTCTCCGCTGCGTCTCTCTTCCCCTCTGTGTGTGTGCGCTGCTGCTGGCCGTTGCTGCTACACCTATCGGAGCAACTAATAACAGCAGCTTCGCGAATTTTCACCACGCGCTGAATTATATGGATGAAACTGAGGTTAGAAACTATGCGTTGAAGCTAATTGAACTGGCTTAAGCAGATCCTGAAAGTTGGGGCAAAGTGGGCGGATGCTTGGTGGATTTCAGATTCAGTCTTCTTGCAGTAGAGTAGAGTGGTGAGGAGGGGTTAATATGGCAAAAAAAGGAAATGAGGGGAGTGGCGGAGGCAGCGCGAAGAGACGAGAGGGACCGAAACCCCGCCTGCTGCATTGTCAGCGCCACGCCTGCAAGCGAGAGGCGCGAAACGTTTCGTTATTTGGTTGCGTAACATTCTCGGTATATTATATCAGAGAAATGAGAACACTCCAACTGTTATTGTATGAATATTCAATATTTCCACTTCCGAGGTTCAGAAATGCCTCGATATTGTCAGAAATGGCTCTGCTCAGGGCCGCTTGTGCTCTGCTGGGATTCCCTAGGGGTTCACCGCTCAATCCTGAAACAAGCAGGGCTAGCACAGCTTCGTTCAGATTATTCCTTCATTGCCGTTTCTGAAGCACGTGACTGATTACAGCTTATCTCATACGTGCATAGGCGGCATCTCCGCACTTGTTAATAGCCCTCTTACGCTATTGGCCAGAGTATCTGAGCGAGATCGCGTAGATGGAGGGGTCGTTCGAGTCGTACAAGGAGAAGGTGCGCATTCGGATCTCCCTCCTTCGCGTCCTTCGTTCCGAATCCAGCCGTCCTCTGCTGACCATTAAAGAGCACACGAATGAATAAAGGCGTCTGGTCTCGAGCTCGAGCTACAAATTTCTAGACGCCTAGTGATCCCATTTTCAGATCCATATCCTTGTTGTTTCGCCCCTTGCTGTGCGGCTCGGGCCGTTACTCGCGGCCCTCAGATCTGCGGCCTACATAGCTCTATCTGCCGCGCACCACATTGTTATCGCGACGGCGTCCCATCCCATGCTACTTTGATATGCCTGATTCTGCGAAACGTCTCACGTCGTCGCGTGCGATGACATTTCCCGTCGCGTGCGACGCCTGGTTCCTGTCGCCCGCCGTCGCAGGTGCTGCTGGGCGACGTGGCGTGGGACACGTACGTGACGGCGAAGCTGATCACGGGCACGGACTTCCAGCTGCTGCGCCGCTACGACCACCGCTCCAAGGAGGTCCAGGCCGCGCTGCTCGAAGAGGCAAGCGCCCATTCCCCACTCCCCTTCCGTCCTTACTTCCTCGCTCCTCTCCCTTCCCCTCCTTTCCCTCTCTGCGTTTTTAAGACGTCTCAAAATTCTGAGACGCTACGACCACCGCTCCAAGGAGGTCCAGGCCGCGCTGCTCGAAGAGGCAAGCGCCTCAGCAACTGCCTCTCCGCTCCTCGCGCCTCTCTTTCTCCCTCTTCGGTTCTCGCGTTTATGCGTTTCTTTCGTCCTGGCCGCACGGCATTCTTCGGTCACCCTCGCCTGGTTCCCTACAAAGCGACCGTTTTTACGCATGTCGTTTCCCGTTACTGCTGTTGCGACTTGTGTCAGCGTCGCAGCTGTTCCTCCATAGCTCCATAGTATGCAACACTAAATGGCCCTGTCACAACTTGAGTGCTACCCCTTTTCTTCGGTGCCCTTACGGTTGTCGAAATTTGTCCCCTATTTTTGTCTGGTTCCACTCATTGGCCTGGCAGAACGGCGTCGGATACGTGCGCACGTTTATATCCGTACTGAAGAATGTATTCAAAGAGGAGACCGTGGAGTACACCATTGCTCTCATCGACGAGCTTTTAACAAGTAACGGGTCTTGCTCTTGGCGTTGACGAACGCATAACGCAGAAAACGAGCTCGTGCGTAGAACCGCAACTTGTAACTGGTATCATCATGTGTTGTCTAGTGAGCAAGTGTCGAGTGTAGCAGCGTGGAAAGCATTCTATTGTCTCCCACACGCCATGCGTTCATGCTGCCGCTTGTGTGTGCTGCAGGGGACAAGAAGAGGGCGCGCTTGTTCCACGATCCATCCATAACGGACGATGTCTATGCGCCCTTCATCAGGTGAGCGCCCTTCATCAGGTGAGCGCCCTTCATCAGGTGAGCGCCCTTCATCAGGTGAGTGAGCGCCCTTCATCAGGTGAGTGAGCGCCCTTCATCAGGTGAGTGAGCGCCCTTCATCAGGTGAGTGAGCGCCCTTCATCAGGTGAGTGAGCGCCCTTCATCAGGTGAGTGAGCGCTTTTCATTCATCAGGTGAGTGAGCGCCTTTCATCAGGTGAGTGAGCGCCCGTCCTCACCCATCTCTTGCACACCCAACTCACCAGTCCCCCACTTCATCAACAACCCTATCCAACTCTGCACTGCCTGTCTCTCCACCATCCCACCATGAACTGCCCACCCTCCGCCATCGCAGACTGTTGGGGCACACCAACTGGTTCGTGCTGGAAGCCACGTCGCGGATTCTGCCCCTCATCATTGTGTGAGTGCTCATCTTCTGCTTGTCGTGCATGCCGTTATGTGAGCACTGTTCGCTGTTTGCTGCTTCCCATGCATGCCATCGTGTGAGCGCTCTGCTTCCTGCTACCATGCATTTCTCTCTCATCATCGTGTGAGTGCCTTTTGCTGTCTGCTGCTTCCCGTGCATGCCTCTCTGCATCACGACGTCTGTACCTCACCCCTGTGTATCCAGTGAATAGGAAACACTTGTCCACAGCACCTGCCCCTCCAATCATAATAACGTCCTTCCGTGCATCTCCCCTCCCCCCCTTAAATCACCCCCTCTCCAACGGCCGTTCCCGCCTCGTGCCTGCCCGCCCACCAGCTCTCGCCCGCACAGCTCTTCCGCGCCTGCAGCAGCAGCTGGGGCAGAGACGCCCGCATCCCCCCCAGCAGGCGACATAGACTACGTGCTTGAGCCCTTCATTGCCTTTCTCTGCCACCAGGTGAGCCATGCCCATGACCTAGTGATCTCGTTTTCCCCCACAGCTCGTCCGCACTCGCAGCGTCAGCAGCAGCAGCACCAGCAGAAGCAGGGGAAGGGACGCCCGCGTCCCCCCCAGCAGGCGACATAGACTACGTGCTTGAGCCCTTCATCGCCTTTCTCTGCCACCAGGTGAGTGCTCTGCCATGCCCACGTCCTAGTCATCTCGCTTCCCCCTCACCACCATATTTACCCTTTCCCCACACCTCTCCGCCTCCCCATTTCCCTCCCTTCTGCCCCCAGCTGACTCGCCCGGTGCGCGCGGTGCCATCAGCCGTAACAGCGCTCGCCACAACGCTCAGGGGCGTATTCGCTTTTAAGGCTCCTCAGTTATCAACCTTCACACATTTCCGTCTCTCCCCTCCCTCACTCCCTCCCCCAGCTGACTCGCCCGATGCACCCGGTGCTTGTGGTGCCAGCAGCCATAACAGCGCTCGCCACAACGCTCAGGGACATGTTTACTGTAGAAGCAGAAATCAACCCCCACACCTTTCCGCCTCTTCTCTCCCCCATCCCCACCCCCAGCTGACTCGCCCGGTGCACCCGGTGCGGGCGGTGCCAGCAGCCACAACAGCGCTGGCGCCAACGCGCAGGGACATGTCAGCTGTTGAGGCGCCTCATAAATCAATCCCCACACCTCTCCGCCTCTCCTTCCCCCTGCCTCCCCCCCTCCCACCCCCAGCTGACTCGCCCGGTGCACCTGGTGAGGGCAATGCCAGCAGCCATAACAGCACTCGCCACAATGCTCAGGGACGTGTCAGCTCGCTCCATCTTTGCCAAGGCTGATGGCGTGCGCCTGCACAGTCCCTCCTCTATCCCCACACATGTCCCCATCGCACCCTCCCTCCCTACCCCCCCTCCCACCCCCAGCTGACTCGCCCGGTGCACCCGGTGCGGGCAATGCCAGCAGCCATAACAGCGCTGGCCACCACACTCAGGGACGTGTCGGCTCGCTCCATCTTTGCCAAGGCGGATGGCGTGCGCCTGCTGCTGCCCTACATTGCACCCGTGGCTGGCCAGAACCAGATGCAGGTGTGATGGCTGATGGTTTAATTCGTAATGGTGTGGTTTGTTATGGTGTGTGCTTTTGGATTCGGTTGTGTTGTGTGGTACCTGCTGCTTCCCTACATCGCACCCGTGGCTGGCCAGAATCAGATGCAGGTGTGATGGCATGGCATGTGGTGTGATGCGTTATGGTGTGGTTCGTTTTGGTGTGGGCTTCCTCACACGTTTTTGCTTCTGCACTGCCTGCTGCTGCTGTACGGTGTGCCCGTGGCCGGCCAGAACCAGATGCCCCATGTGTTACAATGCATGCTCTTAGACAGCACTGCATGAGTGCTCAACGCCCTTACCCCATGCCTCTGTCTCTTCCTGTCTCACACCCCCCTCTCCCCCACCTCCCATCCTCGCCTCCTTTATTCCCCCCCCATTCAGCTGCTGTACGAGGCGGTGCTGTGCCTCTGGCTGCTCTCCTTCCACGAGCCTTCCCTGGAGGCCATTCGCCAGGCGCGCATTCTGCCGCGCCTCATTGACGTTGCCAAGAGCTCCGCTAAAGAAAAGGTGGGTAGCTGCGCTGACTTTTGACTCAACTCAAAAGTCAACTCATCATTCACCAGGCGCGCATTCTCCCGTGCCTCATTGACGTTGCCAAGGGCTCCGCCAAGGAGAAGGTAACGAGCTGGGAGCACAGGCATAGCAGGCCCAGATGTAGCATGGCTCCTGAGTCCACTCACTCCTCTCACTGTTCCCGCTCCACTCAAGTCATTTGAGGCATACTTTGTCTCGTTTTTTAGGCTAATAGCTTCGCCAGAGGAAGGAAAGAGCTCCCATTCTGTCACCTCCCTTCACCACTCCCCACCCTCCAACCCCTTTTCTCCATCTTGTCGCACCCCCCCTCCCCCTTCTCTCTCCACCTCCCCTCACGTCCCACAGATAGTGCGGGTGGCGTGGTGGTGCTGACGTTGAGCAACCTCATCACCTGCGGGCACCTGGGGGCATCGATGGTGGAGCTGGGGCTGCCAGACCGTCGCACAGCAACTCACTCCTCTGCGCCTCTCCCAACCAACCACCTTCTCACCCTCACATGTCACAGATTGTGCGAGTGGCAGTGCTCACCCTCAGCAATCTGATGACCCGCGGGCACCTGGGGGCATCAATGGTGGAGCTGGGGCTGCCAGACGGACGCACAGCAGCTCACAGCCCTGCACCCCCTTTCACATCTCTTCACCGCTCTTAACCCCCGAACCCCCACCTCCCAACCTCACAGATTGTGCGGGTGGCAGTGCTCACTCTGAGCAATCTCATGACCCGCGGGCACCTGGGAGCATCAATGGTGGAGCTGGGGCTGCCCAAGGTCGTGCAGAGCCTCACACCTCTCCACCTCTCCCAACCCCCCAACCTCCCACCCACACGTGCCACAGATAGTGCGAGTGGCAGTGCTCACTCTCAGCAACCTGATGACCCGCGGGCACCTGGGGGCATCCATGGTGGAGCTGGGGCTGCCCAAGGTCGTGCAGAGCCTCAAACTGCACGCGTGGCACGACGAGGTGAGCTGGCAGCATGACGTAGCACGACGAGGTGAGCTGGCAGCATGACGTGGCACGACGAGGTGAGCTGGCAGCATGACGCGGCACGACGAGGTGAACTGGCAGCATGACGTGGCGCTGGAGGTAAGCTGGCAGTATGATGTGGCAGGACGAGGTGAGCTGGCAGCATGACGTGGCATGACATGGTGAGTGCCATGCCAGGGCATAATGCACACTCATGCCGTGAGCTGCAGCCTGCAGCTCGTTTCTTGTGCCCTGCACTCTCGTGCCATCTATGCATGCCTCGCCCCCCATCATCGTGCGTCCCCTCTCTGACCACAATACTCCCATCTGCCCCATCCATGCTTCACGCTGCCCCTACCAGGATCTGAACGAGGCTCTAGAGGCGCTGGACGTGGGGTTGAGGCACAACCTGCGCGTGATGAGCTCGTTTGCCAAGTACTACCGCCAGGCCAGGAGGTGCTCTGAGGCGCGCTCACAAGCCTCATATCACACCGTCTTCCCTTCCTTCCCTCTCTGTTCCCTGCGCGTCTCACACTGCCACCATCATCAGGACCTGAAGGAGGCTCTTGAGGCGCTGGACGTGGGGTTGAGGCACAACCTGCGCGTGATGAGCTCGTTCGACAAGTACCGCCAGGAGGTGCTGTCGGGCTCGCTCGACTGGACGCCCATGCACAAGGACGCGGCATTCTGGCGCGAGAATGTCATGCACTTTGAGGATAATGATTTCCAGGTATGTGGCTGGGTGGTGTGCGGTGCTGTGCGGTTGTGAGATTTATGGGGTTGACTGACTGGACGCCCGCGCACAGGATCTTCTGGCGGGAGAATGTGATGCACGTTGAGGATAATGACTTCCAGGTTTGTGGATGGGTGGTGTGTGGTGAGTGCTGTGCGGTTGTGAGGGTCTTGGGGTTGCCTGACTGGACGCCCATGCACAAGGATGCGGTTTTCTTGTGCGAAAATGTCATGCACTTCGAAAACTACGACTTCCAGGTATGAGAGTCTGGGTGGTGTGCGGTACTGTGCGGTTCTGAGGGTGTCGGGCATGAGCCACGAGCCGTGCATGCTGGCAGTGGTGGCATGCCATGTCACGACCTGGGGCAGTTCATCTCATGTCTTATGCGCCTTAGACGTCTCATCCGTCCAACCCCACTTCACCTTCCCTCCTTCCCTACCCCACACCAGGTGCTGCGAGCATTGGTGGCCTTACTCGACACAAGCCACGAGGCAAAGACTTTGGCAGTGGCGTGTCACGACCTGGGCCAGTTCATCACATACCATCCGGCGGGGCGGGGAGTGGCGCACGACATGAAGGGCAAGGAGCGAGTGCTGCGCCTGCTGGACCATGCCGACCCCGACGTGCGCAAGCAGGCCCTGCTGGCCGTGCAGAAGCTGCTGCTGTCTGCCAAGTATGTCTCGTATCTGCAGTGAGGGAGTAGGGGAGGGGGGTATGTTTCATACCTGCAGTGACGGGGGTGGGGACCCGGGAGAGGAGTGGAGGCAAGAGGTGGCAGGCAGTGATTGTTGCTGGCGACTGGGAGTGGCAGTGCAGCAGAGGGGTGTTGAGCTGCTGGTTTCCTGCCCTGTGTCTATGCATACAAAGCAACTCAACTCGCCGCGGATGTGCTGTAAATGCTCTGCTCATGCTGCTGTCTGTAGCCATAATGCAAAGAGTATGCGACTTCGATGTTCACTACAATAGTCAGCATGTAAGTGTACCACATAGGGTAGTGTAGCTTGTTCCATAGCCACATGATGTTTGTTACACTATTCTACTCTTTGAGCTCTCCCTACATTAGCGATCCTTGTCAGACTACAGTGCTGGTTGAACTTTTCCTTTTGCACACCTGACAGTCCATGCATGCAACCATACATACAGATCTCCGTGCCAGCATTGCTGCTGGAAGCAACCAAAAAAGAATGTTGTTAACCGCTGGTTTTTCTGTAGCCCACATTTGTGTTTACTGTACAAACTCAATGCTGCTGCCAGTAGCAAGAGTGCAAGAACCACACTGCCACAGTTCCACCTCCTGTGCGAATGGTACCGTACATTTGTGAGGCACCTCAAAATTTGTTTCATGGTATGGTACCAACCAAGCAGGTGAGCAGCCGGGACACAGGGAAAGCTGAGTGCCTGCCTGCCTGCCAGCAGCCCATGTGGGCACCAAGCCAGCCATTGTTTAAAGCGCATTGCAATCACTGCAGTCACTGTGGTTCACTGCGCCTCCCTGTGGTTCACTGCGGTGCCTTGTGCAGTCGCAGCAGCAGCGAGCTGACCACCACGAGCACAGAGCTCCCTGCCATGAGCCCCCCTGCAGGCAAGGAAGGGGGGTGTAAGGAGGAGGGATGGTGGAAAAGGGAGAGGTGAGATCGGAGATGGGAGAGGGGAGAAGGTGGAGACAGGAAGCATGGAGACAAGGATATGGACTGAAATGGTGGCTGAACAAGTTGCAATGAGTGCTTAAAGCTCATTGGGCAATGATTACCATCCAAGCAAGGGTGAGCGTGATGATGACATCAGCAAGGGCTGGCGTGATTATTACACCAGCAAGGAGTCATTGTGATAGTCCTACCAGCAAGCGTGGGTGTGACAATCACACCAGTGAGGGTGAGCAAGATAACTATACAGGAAAGAGTGGGCGTGATAATCATACCAGCGAGGGTGGGTGTCAGGGCGATGTCGTAGGCGAAGAGGAAGGCTCCGGCAGCGAGCGGCACGGCCAGGCAGTTGTATGCGAGCGACTTACAAATTTACGCAAAAGTCAGCTGGTGAGCATGACAGTCGTACCAGCAAGCGTGGGTGTGAGGGCGATGTCGTAAGCCGGGAGGAAGGCCCCAGCGGCCAGGGGCACGGCGAGGCAGTTGTATGCGAGGGCCCATGCGAGGTTGAGACGCACTCGGTTCATTGTGGCCCGCGCTAGATGCACCGCCTCCACTAGCTGGTGGTGGGGAGGGGAGAGTGAGGGGAAATGAGCAGGGGAGAGTGTAGAGGGGGGGGAAGCATGGGAAGGGCCCAGGCAAGGTTGAAACGGACTCTGTTCATTGTGGCCCGCGCTAGGTGCACCGCCTCCACTAGCTGATGGTGGGGGGGAGGGCGGAGGGTGGGGTTGGTGGGAACGCAAGGAAGTGAGGCATGGCAGGGTGAGCAGGGAGAGGAGGGAGAAGAGGGAAGGGCAGTTGTATGCGAGGGCCCATGCGAGGTTGAGGCGCACCCGGTTCATTGTGGCTCGCGCTAGATGCACCGCCTCCACTAGCTGGTGGTGGGGGGGAGTTGCGAGGGTAGGAACACAGAAGCGAGGCATGGGAGGATGAGTACGAAGATAAGGTGCGGATGTGGCAGAGAAACAAAGGAGGCAGGGAGGACAGGAGGGAGGGAGTGCTGAAGGAAGGGGAGGAGGACAGAGAAAACGGTTGAAAGCAGACAAAAACGAGTGATGGGACGGGAGAGGGGAGGCACTGACTGCCACCTATGAGGCGCCTCAACAGGCGTACCTGGGCGAGTCGGTTGACCAGCAGCACAAGGTCAGTGGAGGCGGCACCCAGGCGAGGTACGTAGGTCACACCTGGGTGAGTCGGTTGCCGAGGTCAGTGGCATCGGCAGCAGCACTCATGACGGCAGAGGTGGCACCCGGGGGAGGGACTGACTGCCACTAGCGGGGCGCCTAAAAGGTCGCACTATCGTGGGACCTCAAAGGCCGCACCTGTGTGAGTCGGTTGCCGAGCAGCACGAGGTCAGCGGCATCGGCAGCAGCACTCATGACAGCGGAGGTGGCACCCGGGGGAGGCACTGCCACTCCCACGTCTGCACGGGCCAGGGCGAGGGTGTCGTTAATGCCGTCTCCCACCTGGTGTGTGGGGGGGGGGGGAGGGAGAGGGGAGGGAGGAGAGGGACAAGGCAACGGCCAGAAGTACAATGAGCAGAGCTCATGACAGCAGAGGTGGTACCCGGGGGTGGTACTGCCACTCCCACGTGTGCACGGGCCAGGGCGAGAGTGTCGTTGATGCCATCGCCCACCTGGCGTCAGTGGTGGGGGACAAGGCAGCAGTGAGGACATGAGCCAGCTGCACAATGAACGACAATGATGGCGCCTGCTCATACGCTGCACCGCCCGCTAATACGCTGCACCGCACGCACGTACGCTGCACCGCCCGCTCATACACTGCACCGCACGCTCATACGCTGCACCGCTCAATCATACGCTGCACCGCCCGCTCATACGCTGCACCGCCCGCTCATACGCTGCACCGCCCGCTCATACGTTGCACCGCCCGCTCATACGCTGCACCGCCCGCTCATACGCTGCACCGCCCGCTCATACGCTGCACCACCCGCTCAGTGGCGGTTCTGCCACATCCATGTGCTGCTTGCCTCTCCATTCCCTCTCACCGTCCCCATTCACTCTCCACACCATCCTCCCCTCTTCCCACCCTCGCCCCCCTCTTCTCTTACCATCGCCACGCTGTGCCTGTCTCTCAGCACGCCCTCCCCCTATTCCTCCCTACTCACCCACTCCCACTCCCTTCCTCCTCTCTCTCTCACCATGGCTACACTGTGACCGTCCCGTTGCATGGTCTCAATCGCCTCCACCTTGCCCTCGGGAAGCAGTTTTGCCCACACTTTTTCTCACCTACTCCCTTCCTCCCATCCCCCCCGCCCTTCTCCCTTCCTCCACCCCACCCTCCCCCCCCCTTCCCTTCTTCCTCTCACCATCGCCACGCTGTGACCGTCCCGTTGCATGCTCTCAATCGCCTCCGCCTTGCCCTCCGGCAGCAGCCTTCCAAGAACCTTCCCGGGGCCAGCGATGCCAACGGCCTCGGCCACGCGCGTCACTGCAGCCTGCCTGTCGCCCGACAGCACCGACGCTGACACTCCCAGCGATTCCAGCCTGTTGAAGGTGGAGACAGAGCTTTTTGACTAACAAGATGTTTCAAGAATCAACCACACTTGCCACGCGGGTCACTGCTGCCTGCCGGTCGCCCGACAGCACCGCTGCTGATACACCTACTGATTCCAACCTGTGGAGGGTGCAGGGAGGAAGCGAGATCCAGAGCCTTTTGACTAACAAGGTGTTTCAAGAATCATCCACCTCTGCCACGCGCGTCACTGCGGCCTGGCGATCGCCCAACAGCACTGCTGCTGACACTCCCAGCGATTCCAGCCTGTGGGTGGGAAAATGGAGGGTGGGGAAGGAGGGATGGGACAGAGTCTTGTGACTTTCAAGACGCAAGTGACTGCTGCCCTCCATCCCCTGTGCAATTGACTCTACTGCACTCATGCCTGCTCAACAGCTCTCCACCACTCACCGGCTCACGGTCTCCTCTGCCTCGGCGCGCAGTGAGTCGCTCACACAGATGCATCCCAGAATGCCGCCCACACTCTTTCCCTCCTCCGCCGCCCCCCTCCTCTCCCCCTCTCCTCCCTCGCCCGTGTCCCCCTCACTCCTCTCCTCCTCGCTCCTCACTTCACCAACATACACAAACGTGTGGCTGCTGCTGCTATCCCTGCTGCCCCAATCCCCTCCCTCCACACTCCCTCCCACGCCCCCACACTCCCCTCTCAACACCCCCTCTTCCACTCTCCGCCATTTCTCCCTCTCCCCTTCCACCTCACTCCCTTTCCCGCTCCCTCCCCGCCCCTCCCTCTCCCTTGTCCCCCCCAAGCAGTGCTTCACCACCCAATCAAAGCCTCCCACGTGAATCTCCCTCCCGTCCACTACAGCCACCACGCCCCGCCCGGGAACAGTGAGAGCAGACGAAACGGGCGGCAGCGGGGCGGCGGAGAGGCGGGCGGCATGGGCGGTGATGGCGGCGGCTACTGGGTGGCGAGTGGTGGCCTCTGCTGCTGCTGCCAGTTGCAGGAGAGACACAGTTGCAGTATCAGTGGCAGTATCTGAATCAGTAGCAACGGCAGTAGCAGTGGTGGTGGTGTGTCTGCGGCTTGATGCTGTGGCTGGGTCTCGGTTGAGGGAGGTGGAGTGGGATTGTGAGTGGTGGAGAGTGGTGGGCGGCAGGTGGGCTGCAGGCACCACAGCAGACACCTGGGGCTGTCCTGCTGTCAGCGTGCCGGTCTGGGGGAGGGGGAGAGGTGGAGAGGTGGAGAGGAAGGACATGCGGAAGGGGAGGGCCAAGAGGAGGGAATGTGAGAAGAGTCTGTCAGCAGAAGGAGATTGGCTGCAACTCGGATGAGCTAGTATAGTAGGTGCTGGTTGCATTCTCTCTCTCTCGTCTGGTCTGGTAACCAGAGCCATCTGGTAACCAGAGCCATCTGGTAACAGCAATCAGGTGCGCTCACCTCACCCCACCTCGCCTCGTCTCACCTCGAATAGCGTCTCCCACTGACCTTGTCAAACGCCACCACATCGACTCCTGCCAGCCTCTCCAACGCGTCACACAGAGCATCTCACCTTGTTAAACCAAAACAGAAACCAGGTGGTCCCTCCCGTCACACCTAGCGTCTCCCACTGACCTTGTCAAACGCCACCACATCGACTCCTTCCAGCCTCTCCAACGCGTCACACAGAGCATCTCACCTTGTTAAACCAAAACAGAAACCAGGTGGTCCCTCCCGTCACACCTAGCGTCTCCCACTGACCTTATCAAACGCCACCACATCGACTCCTGCCAGCCTCTCCAACGCGTCACACAGAGCATCTCACCTTGTTAAACCAAAACAGAAACCAGGTGGTCCCTCCCGTCACACCTAGCGTCTCCCACTGACCTTGTCAAACGCCACCACATCGACTCCTTCCAGCCTCTCCAACGCGTCACACAGAGCATCTCACCTTGTTAAACCAAAACAGAAACCAGGTGGTCCCTCCCGTCACACCTAGCGTCTCCCACTGACCTTATCAAACGCCACCACATCGACTCCTGCCAGCCTCTCCAACGCGTCACACAGAGCATCTCACCTTGTTAAACCAAAACAGAAACCAGGTGGTCCCTCCCGTCACACCTAGCGTCTCCCACTGACCTTATCAAACGCCACCACATCGACTCCTGCCAGCCTCTCCAACGCGTCACACAGAGCATCTCACCTTGTTAAACCAAAACAGAAACCAGGTGGTCCCTCCCGTCACACCTAGCGTCTCCCACTGACCTTGTCAAACGCCACCACATCGACTCCTTCCAGCCTCTCCAACGCGTCACACAGAGCATCTCACCTTGTTAAACCAAAACAGAAACCAGGTGGTCCCTCCCGTCACACCTAGCGTCTCCCACTGACCTTGTCAAACGCCACCACATCGACTCCTTCCAGCCTCTCCAACGCGTCACACAGAGCATCTCACCTTGTTAAACCAAAACAGAAACCAGGTGGTCCCTCCCGTCACACCTAGCGTCTCCCACTGACCTTATCAAACGCCACCACATCGACTCCTGCCAGCCTCTCCAATGCGTCACACAGTGCATCGCTCCTTCCAGCCTCTCTCACCTTGCCACCTGCCGCCAGGTGCCTCGCTGCACCTAGCGTGTCTCCTCTCCAAGCCTCAGCTAATCTCACATGACTCACTCACCTTGTCAAACGCCACCACATCCACCGCTGCCAGCCTCTCCAACACGTCTCCCCCGCGCAGCAGCAGCCCCCTCCTCGCACCTGCCATGCACACACACACGCATCCATCCATGTGAATGAGGTCATGGGAAGCGTGTTCAGAGTCGACGCAAAACACCACATCGACTGCTGCCAGCCTCCCCCGCGCAGCAGCAGCCCCCTCCAAACTCCTGCCATGCACGCATGCAGGTTCTTATACTTGAGAGTTATGCAAGTTACCAGAGTTGTAGCAGATCATCTTAAGAGACATTGTTAGGCATGGGATGGGTGGGTGGGTGGGATATGAGGGCATGGACGAGTGGTTGCGAGGCCAGAGGGCAGAGACAGGGAGAGGTGTGCTGCGGTGCAGGGAGGTGTGGTGCGGTGCAGAGAGACCGTACCCAGGGACGTGCCAACGAGGATGGCGGTGGGCGTGGCGAGGCCGAGCGCACACGGGCAGGCGACCACCTGGGGTGGGGAGTGAGAGGCAGGGATCAAAGGGAGCAGACCAGCAGGTGCAGTGGAGTCAGGGAGGTGGGGACTAAGGGGGTTGGGAAGCATGGGGTTGGGTATAAAAGGGTTGGGGATTGGAGACACACATGTGGGAATGGTTGGGAAGAGAGGGGCAAGAGAATTCACGTAGTGAAAAGGCGATGCTTGTTTCAGTAACAGCACGCTGATGGCGAGGCGCAGGCTGAGCACGAGGGGGTCAGAGTTGACTTTGCGGCATCTCGACCGCCGTGTCCTTTCTCACCAGCACGCTGGTTGCACTCCACCTCACTAGAACTAACAGTAATGGTCATGGTCATGGTAATGGTAATAGTAATGGTAAATGTAATGGTAATAGTAACGGTAATGGTAATGGTAACGGTAATGGTAGTGGTAATGGTAATAGTAATGGTAAATGTAATGGAAATAGTAATGGTAATGGTAAATGTAATGGTAATGGGGGGAACCTGATGGGGGGAACCTGATGGGGAGAACCTGATGGGGGGAACCTGATGGGGGAACCTGATGGGGGGAACCTGATGGGGGGAACCTGATGGGGGGAACCTGATGGGGGGAACCTGATGAGGGGAACCTGATGGGGGGAACCTGATGGGGGGAACCAGATGGGGGGAACCTGATGGGTGGGGGGAACCTGATGGGGGGAACCTGATGGGGGGAACCTGATGGGGGGAACCTGATGGGTGGAACCTGATGGGGAGAACCTGATGGGGGGAACCTGATGGGGGAACCTGATGGGGGGAACCTGATGGGGGGAACCTGATGGGGGGAACCTGATGGGGGGAACCTGATGGGTGGGGGGAACCTGATGGGGGGAACCTGATGGGGGGAACCAGATGGGGGGAACCTGATGGGGGGAACCTGATGGGGGGAACCTGATGGGGGGAACCTGATGGGGGGAACCTGATGGGTGGGGGGAACCTGATGGGGGGAACCTGATGGGGGGAACCAGATGGGGGGAACCTGATGGGGGGAACCTGATGGGGGGAACCTGATGGGGGGAACCTGATGGGGGGAACCTGATGGGGGAACCTGATGGAGGGAACCAGATGGGGGGAACCTGATGGGGGGAACCTGATGGAGGGAACCAGATGGGGGGAACCTGATGGGTGGGGGGAACCTGATGGGGGGAACCTGATGGGGGGAACCTGATGGGGGGAACCTGATGGGGGGAACCTGATGGGGGAACCTGATGGAGGGAACCAGATGGGGGGAACCTGATGGGTGGGGGGAACCTGATGGGGGGAACCTGATGGGGGGAACCTGATGGGGGGAACCTGATGGGGGGAACCTGATGGGGGGAACCAGATGGGGGGAACCTGATGGGGGGAACCTGATGGAGGGAACCAGATGGGGGGAACCTGATGGGTGGGGGGAACCTGATGGGGGGAACCTGATGGGGGGAACCTGATGGGTGGGGGGAACCTGATGGGGGGAACCTGATGGGGAGAACCTGATGGGGGGAACCTGATGGGGGGAACCTGATGGGTGGGGGGAACCTGATGGGGGGAACCTGATGGGGAGAACCTGATGGGGGGAACCTGATGGGGGGAACCTGATGGGTGGAACCAGATGGGGGTAACCTGATGGGGGGAACCTGATGGAGGGAACCAGATGGGGGGAACCTGATGGGTGGGGTGGGGGAACCTGATGGGGGGAACCAGATGGGGGGAACCTGATGGAGGGAACCAGATGGGGGGAACCTGATGGGTGGGGGGAACCTGATGGGGGGAACCTGATGGGTGGGGGGAACCTGATGGGGGGAACCTGATGAGGGGCACTCATGCCTTACCAGCACGCTGGTTGCACTCATGCCTTACCAGCACGCTGGTTGCACTCATGCCTTACCAGCACGCTGGTTGCACTCATGCCTTACCAGCACGCTGGTTGCACTCATGCCTTACCAGCACGCTGGTTGCACTCATGCCTTACCAGCACGCTGGTTGCACTCATGCCTTACCAGCACGCTGGTTGCACCTCACCAACACTAAGGGCGATGCTCGTGTCATTACCACCATTTTAATGGCGAGGCGGAGGCTGAGCACGAGGGGGTCCGAGTCCACTTCTAAGTCATCTACTCCCTCACCAGTGCGCTCCTGCCACCCTCGCCAGCACTAACGACAATGGTCCTCTCACCAGCACGCTGATGGCGAGGCGGAGGCTGAGCACGAGAGGATCCGAGTCGTCGCCTGCAAAGTCTGAGAGCAGCACGGCTGGATATAGATGCACCCCCACCGTGTACCTGGTGGGGTGGGAGGGAGGAGAAGGTGGGGGGGAGGAGAGGGGGAGGAGAATGTGGGGGAGGAGGTGGGGATGCACAAGTCGGAGGCTGAGCACGAGGGGGTCGGAGTCGTCTCCTGCAAAGTTCGACAGCAGCACTGCTGGGTAGAGATGCACTCCCACCATGTACCTGGGAGAGGGGGGGGAGAGCGGAGGGGGAAAAAGGTGCACCCCCACCATGTTGGACAATGAGGGACCAGCAAGCTATGGAAAATCCCTTCCCACTCAACAGAACGCAAAGGTGCCAGCAAAGAGAGACATGACGGTGAACACAAAGGGCCATGCGATGGCGTCTGCTAGTCGCTGAATGCACGAGTGTTGCACTGGTGCTGTCCCCTGCTGTGCGCCCTGATTCCCTCTCACCAAAACGCAAAGGTGGCAGCGGAGAGGCTCATGATGGTGAACACGAACGGCCCTGCAATGGCGTCTGCTAGGCGCTGCACCGGTGCCGTGCGCTGCTGTGCATCCTCCACCCGCCGTGCCATCTCACACACGGCACAGCTTGCTCCTGTTGCTGTTGCTGACACCACTATAGGGCCCTCCTGTTGGGGGAACGTGGGTTCAAAATGGCAGGAGGGGAAGGCATGCAGGGAGAGGGGGATTGGGCTACGGTGCATCCTCCACCCGCTGTGCCATCTCACACACGGCGCAGCTGGCGCCTGTTGCCGTTGCTGACACCACTATGGGCCCCTCCTGATGGGAATGGGAAGGAAATGGGGTGCTAGTACATCGTAAATGGGGGCATGTGCTGCTGTGCGTCCTCCACCCACCCGCCGTGCCATATCACAGGCGCAGCTGGCGCCGGTGGCCATTGCTCAGACCACTATGGGATCCTCCTGATGGGAGAGAAGGGAAGGTAAGTGTACGGGAAGGGAGGCTTGGATAAGCTGTGCCTCTTCTACTTGCCAAGCCACTCACATGATGCACATCTGGTGGCCGTAGCTGTTGCTGTTGCACTCACAAAGTTACAAAACGCACTTGGCCCTTCTCTTTACAACATGTCCCTGCCACTCTCCCGCAACCACTCACCCAGTTGACGGTGCTAGCATGTTGGGCTTGGGCTTGAATGTCAGCAACTGTGGCTCCTCTGCATCTAGGCACTGTGGCCGCCTCTCCTGTCTGCAATGACTCGTGCCCCTACCTTACGTGCAGTAGACACTCACTTTGCCACTTGTCTCCACGCAACCACTCACCCAGTTGACGGTGCCAGCAGCAACAGTAGCTCCTCTACGCTTGGGCACTGTGGCCGCCTCTCCTGTCTGCAATGACTCGTCCACTGCACTGCGCCCACTCTCCACCACGCCCTGATGGGGGAAAGGGAGGAGGGTGGTGGGCGGAGGTGTGATCGAGTGTGCATCCACAGGACGATGTCACGTGTGTCAAATGACCATTCTCTCACTTGTGGTTCCGGTCACACCTCTATCTCTATGCACAGCCACCAGTTGTTACTCACGTCAACACAGCCACGTCGGCACGCAGCCACTCACGTCCACAGGGATGACGTCACCAGGCAGCACCAGCACCCGATCTCCCGGGCGCACGTGATTGGCCGGCACCTGCACCCACGCCGCCATGCTCAGCGCCAGCCCCTCCCCTCCCTCCTCCTCACTCCCACTCTCCACCCCCCCTCCTGCCCCCTCACTCAAACCCCCACTCCCCACTCCAGAGGCACTCAGAGAGGCCAGCAGTCCATTTGTGCTCCCGCCTGCTTCCCCCCCTCCCCCCTGCTCACTGCCCCCAGTACTGTCGTCTTGCACTAGCAGTCGAGCCGTGGAGGGCAGTAGCGACTGTGCATGGGGATGGAGATGGGGATGCGGAGAGAGGTGAGGGGTTCAGAAGGGTGAGAGGGGTGAGGGGGGTGAGAGTGGTAAAAGGTCGTGTGAGATGCTCAAAACTATTAACAATGGGAAACAAAGATCAAGGCAACGAGAGAGGTGTCACCATGAGGGCATTGAGGTCGGAGGAGGCTTGCGCCCTGGCAGAGGCCTCTAGGGACCGACCCAGCAGCACCACCGCCAGCAGCATCACCTGGCACGTGGGGGGGAGGCATTGAGGGGAGCGAGAGAAAATTAAGTTGGGGATTGCATGCTTATGCATGCAACATGCTACGTGCCCCATGCCCCGTGCCCCATGCCCCGTGCTCCATGCCCCATGCCCCGTGCCCCATGCCCCGTGCCCCATGGCGTGTGGTGTGTGCACATGCATGAATACGCATGCTCAGCTCAGTTTCCCGCATGCTACATGCCCCATTCCCGCGCAACGTACGCCTGTGCACGTGCCATGGCCACTCACAGGCTCATCAGTGAAGGAGGAGTCGAGGCCCAGGTCCGGGTACAGCTGTGCCGCCTGCACAGGTGGGGGGGGATGGATGCAAGGTGGGAAGAATGGAGGCGGAAGAAGAAGAAGATGGGAGGAAGTGGGGCTGGAAACCTAGGCCGAGGTCGGGCAGGGTGCAGCTGTGCCACCCACCTGCACTGTGGGAGACGGATGGAAGGGGGAGACAACAAAGTGGAAGGAGAGGAAGAAGACAGTGTGGGAAGAGGCTTGTGGGCGAGGATGGTTTGGCGTGCAGAAAGGGCTCTGGGGGAGGGCAGTGGAGGAGCGGACACTGACCACACCAATGCACAAGGCAGCGAGGGAGGTGAGGCTCACGCGGGAGAGGGGGGGGAAGAGGAGGAAGGCGGATGGAGTAAGGGAGGTTTGTAGAGGAGGGGGGCACGGCACCTACCACCCCAATGAAGAAGGCAGCGAGGGAGGCGAGCCCCACGAGGGAGTTCATGTTGGGTGACCCACGCAGCAGCGCTTTCATGCCGTCCACAAGCAGGTCTGGGGAGAGGGGTTGTGGGGAAGGGGGGTGTGGTGTGGGGGAAGGGCGGGAGGAGGGGGAATAGTTAAGGAGCATCAACAAGCAGCGCCTTCATGCCGTCCAGCAGCAGGTCTGGGGAGAGGGGTTGTGGGGAAGGGGGGTGTGGGGGTGAAGGGCCACAGGAGAGGGGGTAGTGGCACGGCACGGGACATGAGAAGGGAGACCAAACCGAAATGGATGCGAAAACGAGTGGGCGATGCAGGAGTTGATGGGGAGGGGAAGAAGATGCCGCCCCATGTTTGGTTTCTGCGGAGGGGAAGAGCAGTAGCACAGGCACGGGACGCACGCAGCCCTGCAACAGCAGCAGCTCATGCAGTCGTCCTTCATGCCACCATGCCACCATGCCAGTGATGCCACTATACATACATCTACTACCAACCACTGCCAGAGTATCTACAGCCTACAGCCTACAGCCTACAGGGCAAATCAAGCACCCAGCATGCCACACACACACAGTACCTCTGGCGGGCCCCAGCAGAGCGACGGCAGCAATGGCGGAGCGTGCCCTCACATCGTCCAGCACCGCCATCCATGGGCCTGGCGTGGAAGAGGGGGAACAGACGAGTGGCAGTGGGGGAGAACGGAGGCATGCAGACAGGGGAATGCGGGCTTGAGGAATGTGCTTCAACAGCAGCAGCGTCACGGCAGCGATGGCCGACCGTGCTCTCATGTTGTCAAGCACTGCCATCCATGGGCCTGGCAGGGGAGAGATGGGGCAGACACATAGGTAGAGGGATGTGCATATAAGGAGTGCTATGTTGAGGCGCCTCAACAGCAGAGCGACGGCAGCGATGGCAGAGCGTGCTCTCACGTCGTCCAGCACCGCCATCCATGGGCCTGGTGGACAGGCAGGGCGGATGAGGGAGGCATGCAGACACGGAAGGAGGCAGGCAGGGGAGGAACGCAAGATCTTTGAGTGCAGAGACAACAACGAAATAAAAGCGAAAGAAAAGGAAAGATATGGGAACAGACAGGAGGTGTATGTATGTAGAAGTATGTACCGTGTGCAAGCGCAGCGCGTGCAGCCCCATGCCGTGGAAAAGGTGTCCCACGTGGTGCGCGCAGCACAGCGCCGCCAGCGCGCAGGTGACTAATGAGCTGACCGTGCACCTGTGTATATGTATGGAGCAGCCTGTGTGTGCCCTACTTACCGTGTGCAAGGGCATGCAGCCCCATGCCATGAAAAAGGTGTCCCACGTGGTGTGCGCAGCACAGCGCCGCCAGCACGCCCGCCACCGCCACGTCCACGCGCGCGCGCGCCACTGCGCGCTGCCTCCGCTCCGCCGCCTCCCTGCGCCGTGCCTCCGCTGGTGGGGGATGTGGCGGGGTGTGTGGGGGAGGGGGTGCCTAAACACGAGGGGGCGGATGGAGGAGAAGCGTGGAATGCGGGTGCACGTCCACGCGCGCACGCGCCACTGCGCGCTGCCTCCGCTCCGCCGCCTCCCTCCGCCGCGCCTCCGCTGGTGGGGGATGTGGCGGGGGGTTGGGGGGGAGAGAGCGATGGGAGACGATGGAGAAGGGACGAGGGAGGTGGACAAGCGAAGGGAGAGAGGGAGACGCTAGAGGAATGATGGGAAGCGAAGCGCCAAGTGGGGGGATAATGCTGAAGTCCTGTCTCTGTCTGTCATACCCCCCACCCCGATACCGTCTCCATCCCTCTCCTCTGCTCCCCTCCACATCGCTCCCCTCAACATCGCCCCCCTCCCCACTCTACCTACTTCGTCCGTCCCTACCTTCTTCGTCCGCCTCCCCCGCGCGCCGCACGGAGCAGGGGAACCCCGCGTCTTCCACCAGCTCCGCCAGCTCCGCGCGCAGCGCCTCAAGCTCCGCCGCCTCGTCGCCCGCCTTCGCAATAGCGGGGGGGAAAGAAGCGGTGGCGGAAGGAGCGGCGGAAGCGGAGGCGGAAGGGGAAGCGGAAGCCTCAGGCGCGCGGAGGGAGACGGTAACAGCGGCGGATTCGGTGACGAGATTGACGCCCGCGCTAATCACGCGCGGATGCTCCGACAGCACTTGGCGCACGGCGGCGGCGCATCCCCCGCACATCATCTCGCGCACGTCCAGCAGCACCACCGCCGACGTTTCCGCTTCCGCTGCTCGCCCCGCGCCACTTCCGCCAACCGCCGCCGATCGCGCATCTGCCGCGGCGGAGGTCGACGACTGCACTCCTGCTTTCGGCGCCGCAACTGCCGACGCGCGCACGGATTTCTGCGCGTTGGGGGAAGACGATGATTGGACTGTTGGGTGGCCGGCGCGAGGCTCGGCGCGCAACGGCACGGAACGGCTAGCGACGACGGCATGCTGGCGTGAGGTGCGGTCGCGTCGCGAGGGACGGTGTGCATGCGACAAATTCGAGGAGAGGAGTCTTAAGGAAGGATTGAAAGCTGCGAGTGAACGGGATATCCGACGCGGTTGCACAATGGGCGACGATATCGCGACCCGGGGATCGGAGATTGCGACAGTCGCGACGACCTGCACTGCGGCCATGGCGGGCGGGGTGATAAGAACGCAATGCACAGCTTGGAGCCGCAGTCGGCTGAAAATGGCGACTGACGGCTCCGTCGGAACCCTCACAGGAGCGGCACAAGAGAGGGATGGAAACAAAACTAGCAAATTGGCCAAATTACTTCCGTGAACTGTGTATTGATTGTGTCGCAGCAGCAAAAAGACCAGTGACAGTGAGTGATGGTGGAGTTGAAGGGGGGGGGGGGTGGCAAGAAATTGCGTAATGGCAATCATCGCAGGCATAAGCTGTTTTCTCTTGGGACAGGCGAAGAGATTGGATACATCGAAAGCCACGCGGCGTGATTTGAATGGTTGGAGGGGCCTGTGTGAGAGTGTGTGCGACTGGCAGCTCGATTCCCCTCATGCTGGTTCCTCATCCTCCAAGGCCAACCAATGCCAGCGTACGCGCAAGTTCCCCCCTCTCCCCCGAGTGGGACAGAGTTTATGGAAATTCACGCTTGGCGATGCCGCCTGGTGTATGAAACTGTTTTTTTGTTACGTCAGCTGTCAATAACGGGTATGATTTCCTTGGAACCCTTTCCCCTCTTTGTTGAGTGCAGCTCACGCAGAGCGACGCCAGCAAGGATCAAACGGGTATTCCCTAGATACCTCCGCGCTCTGACTCACTGCGCTTTCATTTTCAGCTTCGGAAATAGAGAGCATAGAAATAGCTTGTGCGATTGTGACCTCGTACAGCGTAGCTTGGGAATTCGTTTGGCCAGTTAAGTGACACAGAAGTCACTTTAGTATTCTCCATTGGCAGTGACGAACATCCGGAGCGTTCCTTGTTGGCTTGCGCGTGTGTCGTTTGATTTTGCTACTCACAATGGCCGATTCAGTAACCTTCGGATCCATCAGTCATGGCCAGATGTCGTTCCACAACTGGCTAATTCAATCGCGATACGGTACGTGGAAGTGATCGACTCCCTTGTCTCAGCAGACATCGGTAGACACTTAAATGTCAGAGTTCTTTTTGAAAGTACCCTTTGAAGCTTACACGTTTCGCCTCGCCTTAGCTGTTATGTTCGACTCAGATTGTAACCATTTCCGGCTCGCCAAGGTTCCCTGTTATTTCGTTCCTGTTCGGCCCCTCCCACCACTGGGCTCAGTGAACAACGAGGACGATGCGCAGGGGAGGCGGAGAAAGGGCAAGGCGCGCAGCACCAAGGGGGAAGAGCACGATCCGCGCAACGCGCAGGCGCATTCCCACGGTGTGATGTGTGGCATGGTTTGTTCACGTCTTCTAGTCGCATAACTGGTGCGGATAGCCGTGGCGTTGTTGCTTGCTCCCATTTGGCCGGTTAAAGCAGTGCTGGTCGCACCTGGTCACCACGTGTCACATTCTCGCAACCCTCTTGAGCTGCAACAGCAGTCTTTGCCCACCTCTCACTTACCCTCGTCTTAAATTCTGCCATTTCACGTTCCTCTCTTGTTCCCCCCACCCCGCTGCAGCCGTGATCGCCTCGTCGCTCATGCTACCACCAGACGCTCTGCCGCTCTCAGGCAAGGTACGACAAATTTGTTAGGCGCCTCAAAAGTCCCCGCTGCAGCCATGATCGCCTTGTCCCTCATGTTACCACCAGACGCTCTGCCGCTGTCAGGCAGGGTACGTCGCAGCCGCCAGCCAGGTAATCAGCTTATTAGGGACCGTTGTTTTTCTCCTTCTTTCACAAGGCCATCTTCTGGTCAGCCTGTGTTCCACTGCAGCTTCGTTGCTCCTGTCCCTCTCAGATTCCCTCTTTTTTCACTCTTCCCTGCCCAATCCTCCCTTTCCACTTTCCGCTCGCACTCATACTGACATCGTCCCCCCTCCCCACCTCCCCCTCTCTAAACCTTCCTCCCCCATCCTGACCTTCCTTTTTGGCCATGCTGCTTGCATCAGCGCAAGGCGAGGCGGTGGGTGAACGAGCGCCTGCTAAAGGACATGGCGGGGCCTCTTACTGGGCCAGACGTCACCTCGCTCTATGCGCCGCCACCCTGGGGTACGCACAACGTCCCCTCCCTCTGAGTGTTGCCGCCCTTGGGTAGGTTGTCGTAGCTGCCGTAGCGAGCGCCTGCTAAAGGACATGGCGGGGCCTCTTACTGGCCCGGACGTCACCTCGCTCTATGCGCCGCCGCCCTGGGGTAGGTTGCAAGCAAGGCGTGTTAGAGCAAACCCAACACCACCCGTTCTCTCCCGCTCCGCACATCTCCTCTTCGCCTCTTCCGATCACAACTCTCTCTCGTATCAGTCCCACATCTCTTGCACTTATCTCTCTTCCTTACATCACCCCTGTTCCTCCTACCACCTCCCTCGCAGGTGAGAAGACAGAGAAGCCAGTGTTGGAGAGGCTGTCAGACGTGGCACTCTCCACGCCCTTTGAGGCGCTCCTGGGTAGCTGTGTTCGTAGTACTGTCTAACCCCTTTCTCCTATTCCTTCTCGCATCATGTCTCCCTTGCAGGAGAGAAGACAGAGCGGCCAGTGTTGGAGAGGCTGTCAGATGTGGCGCTCTCCACGCCCTTTGAAGCCTTTGTGTGCCAGCAATACCTTGCAGGGGCTACTTTCAACAAGGTGCGTGCAGCACGATTGTTAGATAGAGGACCTCCTTTTGCCACACGGAATTTTGCCTTTTATCCAATGGTCTGTGGATGGGCGAGACGAGCTAGCTAATTTCCTCCTTGTGGTCACTCGCCTCACACCCCCCACCTGCGCACACAGCTGCCATCCCGCAAGGCCAGGAGCAAGCAGTCTCGGGAGCAGGCCAGCAGCGGCAACCAGCATTCAGCAGCAGCAGCAGGAGGGGGAGCAGCAGCGGTGGTGGCGGCATCGCAGGCAGCGTGGAGGCGGGTGCCGGAGGCAGCGAGAGGGGCCATGCGGCGCGCTGCAGGCTGGGTGGTGGTGGGGACTGTTGAGGTGAGGTCGGGCAGTTAGTGTGTGATGTGTGATTGTATCTAGGCCCATGTGTGTGTTGTGCGACTGGTCATCTGATCCCTCTTGCTGACCCCACCCACTGGTCCCTCCCGCTCCCTCAGGCTCTTCTGGTGGCATTCCTGCACCCGCCACCTGCTGCCACTGCTGCCACCACTGGCGCGACGAGCAGCCAAGTGGACGCATCTTGCAGTGGCAGGGGAGAGCTGAGCAGTGAGGATGGCAGGGGGGACGAGAGCAGCATTGTGTCGTGTGCAGCAGGCGTTGCTGGGGGTGATGGAGCAGAGGGGCAACAGCAACAGATGGAGGAGGCACAGGAGGAGGGTGGAGAGGGGTCGCAGGAGGGGGGTGAGAGTGGGAGTGGAAACACGATTGGGAGTGTGTTGCCGGAGTGGTGTGTGCAGGCAGCATGGAGCGACGTGGAGAGTGCTTTGGAGGCACATGGAGGGAAGCTGAAGGGGGGCGTGAGCGGCGGTGCAGGTGCAGCAGACGGGGAGGCGGACGGCATGGGGAGGGGAGGGGAGGGAAGGCAGGTGCTGGTGTTTGCTGCAGACGATGCCTTCCTCAGACTGTTGCTGCACGGCATGTGCCAGGTGGGTGGCTGGCACGTGCTGTTGATGCCTATGGTGGGTGGAGCATGGCATGGCATGTGCCAGGTGCTGATTTTTGCTGCAAATTACGCCTTTCTTAGACTGCCTCATGTGCCAGGTGGGTAGTGCACTGTGCATGCTGTGTGCCAGGTAGGAATTGCATGGTGTGTGCCAAGTGGACGGCCAAGGGTGTGCTGCACTTCCATCCTTCTCAATTTCACTCCACTTGAATATGCTGCACTCCTTACATCAACATCCCCACTCTCGCCCTCTCACCGCTCTCCGCTCACCCTTTCCTGCCATTTTCCTCCTCCTCTCTTCCCCACATTCCCCCTCCCCTAATACCAGTTCCATGGAATGCGGTCACTCTCCCTTCCTGCAGCCAGCCTACCCACCCACCTCCTCCTCTCCTTCCCGCCCCACCTCGCGCCCTCCACTCTCACTGTCGCCTGGCTTCCCCTTCCCCTACCCTCTCAGCCGTCCCCCTCTGCCTCCCCATCACAACCGCAAGAGCTGCCGCTCCCAGCACCTCAAGAGAGTAACGTTGTTACAGCAGACCACCCTGCCTGGCCCTCGCATCACATTCGCCTGCACCACATACTGCCTGCCTGCCCCCTGCCTATCCCCACATAGTACCTGACTCTTTTCAGAGTTATGAACTTGAAATGCTGCACTGTACTGTACTGCTCTGAATCGCTGTTTTCTTCTGTTTCACATATGCTGCTGTGTTCTGTGGCATACCGGTACTCTGTATGCATTGAGGCTGTGCCATAGGCTTAGGTCCATCTGTGTGCAGGGCCCACGATATCAGGGCAAAACATCCTGATTACCCTGATTTCAGGATGGTGTCTTAAGTTTGCCCTGGAATTTCAGAATGATGCTGAAATTTACCCTGTGACGTCAGGATGATTCTTGTGTTTTGACCTGAAATTTCAGAATGGCAGTGATTTTTTGCCCTGAAGCGTTAGGGTGAATGTAGAGGGATTCCCTGACTCGTGGGAAGGGGAGAAAGGGTGGAGGGGGGAGAGAGGGAGAGGGAGAGAGGGGAGGAAGGAGGCTGGAGGGTGTGTGTGCTAGTTTTGTCCTCACCCCTCCCCCACCAATGTTTTTGCTCCGCCAGTAGAAGTGAAACCAGTGAACAACCTGCTCCTTTCGTGCCTTCCCCTCCATCCTCTCTAGTGCCTCGTATTTTTTGGCCTGAATCATCCATATGAATTTCTGCTGGTGCCCTGAAATTTCAGGATGGCCAGAAAATTCTGCCCTGAAGAATCAGGGCATTTCAGAGATTTTTCAAAAGTTACCCTGAGGGCTCAGGGTGCCCAAAATCCTAGCACAGGCCCTGTCTGTGTGAGTCTAACCAGAGCCATGGAAAGGGTTTCTGTACTTGCCAGCAATAGCACACACGTAGCTGAGCTGTTTGTTGGAATTAAGGTTAATTCGGGTTGCTCCAATAAACATATGTAGTGGTACATCTACACTATGGTAGTGTAGAATACATTGGTTGGGTTGGGAGAACTTGTGGTGAACACTCTTTAGAGTGGACCACCTCCCAAACCCTATAGGTTAGGGTTCTCTCTTGTTGGTATTTCACTTTTGGAAACCACTTTGGTTCTAGCATGATTCATGCCCAAGTGGGCTCCTAGGATTCCTAGGCTTTAGGAGGAGGTTCTAAGACTACTAAAGCTTCCGCTAGTATCTTAGTCCATTCTAATATGGTATCAGAGCAAGGAAGGCCTAGCAATCTGTTGGAATAGGAGTCACTCAAGACATTGGACCATAAGATCTTGGTGGAAGCTAGTTAGCTTCCATTCCTCCCGAAGGACTGCCGAAATTGCACCGTGGCGGACTCTGGACGTGGGAGGGGAAGAGGAGAGAAGAAAACTGCTGGAAATCGTGTGGATCCGTTTGGGAGGACCAGAAGAGCGGCATCCATCCACGGAGGCGCTCAGTCAACTTTGGCCGGTCAAGACGTGCAGCATATCGTTGGAAAGGTCTCAGCACGCTCTACAACAGTTGCCTCAAGGTCGTCACCAATCGACGAGGGGATCGGACGCAATTCGCGAAAAACTGCCGGCGGACGAATTGGAAAATCGCAAATCGGGGAAGATTTAAAGCGCGGAAAAAGGATTGGAGGCCAGACGCCGATAGAGGAGGCCAGGGCGCATCCAACAAGCCAAAAATCGGGAGAAACGGTTGAGTCTTTGTCGACGGGAAATCGGCCAACTTCGACGAGTTTAAGCGGCCAGCTTGGAAGCGGGATCCAAGAGCGCGATACATCATCGGAACGGTCTTGGAGCAAAGATTCATCTGAGACAAACGGCTCATCATTCGAAGGTTCGAGCGCGGAGTTACGCTCCAAAAACCAAGAGGGGGCAAATCTGTCCACATCGTCTCCACCACCGCCGCCGTTGCCTCCACCACCACCTCAACGTCAATCTCCAGAGTGTCTGCCGCAAATGGATCATGACTCAGGTGAAGGGAAGCTGGAGAGTGCGCCAAAGTTCGACGGGAGCGACTATTGGACTTGGAGCTTCCGATTCGAACAATGGGCAGAGGCACACGATCTATGGGGGTACTTTGATGGTTCGGAGGAGCGGCCTGCATCGGGTGACGCACGGCTGAAGTGGGAGAGAAAAAATCAGAAGGCATTCGCTCAATTCTGCAATGCCTTGGTGCCAGATGAGCTAATTCGCTTGGTACGGGAGTTCGGCGGCAAGACCGAGTTGGGCAGCGCACCTGTTGATGGCGGAGCAAGAGCGGTCACCCGAATTCCTGCAGGCACAGCAGCGGCATACATACGAGTGAAGGAGTTCTACCTTCAGCGTGGATTGTGTAACCGGATGACACTCTCTGAGGAGCTCTCTTTATTGAAGATGAAAGAGGGGGAGGGGGTGGCTGCATACTGGGCGCGTGCCGAGGACTTGAGGTCCAAGTACTTGGCTGCAGGAGGAAAGGAGGAGGTTGAGGAGTGGATGATGAGGGTACTCAAAGGACTACCTCCTCACTTTGAGATGCTGAAGGTGGTGTTGAACAACCAGTCATCATCGCTCACTAAGGATCAGCTGCTTACCTCCTTGAGGAGCGAGGAGATGCGGATTGGTGTCGCACCAAGATCGGATGGTGTAGCCACATTTGGAGCGGGTACGAAAGTGGGCAGCAGCGGCAGGGGAAATTGGGTCAAGGGAGGAAAGCATGGAGACATCGGTAGCAGCAGTGACACCAACTCGGGCAGATGGGGTCAAGGGAAAGGCAAAGCGGGAGTGCTTGATTTCCCTTGGGGGTCCAAGGGCATGGCTCCTCGGGGGTTGTGTCATGGCTGTTGGGATGAGGGACATGCATGGCAGCGATGTCCTCATCGACCTAAGGGAGGCATTCCGGCATTCTTAAAGCGGGGGGGTCGTAGGTCCAACGGCAAGGCACAGGTGGCGGATGAGGAGGAGCAGGATGACAAGGCAGAGGCAGTGGTTGGAGAAGCAGTTGCAGCAGTGGGAGAGGAGCAGCCGCGAGAGGGGTGGTGAATTGACAGTGGGGCCAGCCACAACTTTACTCCTTATGCATCGGACTTCAAAAGTAAGCTTCAACCACCAGAGGTTCGGGGAGTTAGATTGGGAGATGGACGGGTGGTGAAAGCTGTTGGCATGGGTGAGGTGCCAGTGGTTGGTGCTGGAGGTCAGCTGCTGAGGATTCAAAAGGTCCACCTTGTGCCTGAGATGCACACGCGTCTGCTGTCAGTCCCACACCTCACCTCTCGAGATGTCATTGTCACATTCAAAGGCAAGAGATGTGTCCTTCAACGGGGGGAGCGGGTGTTGGCGATTGGAGAAAAGGAGAGGGGAAGGGACCATGGATTGGTGCGGATGTTTCTTCCTCTTGCTCAGGGCACACAGGGCAGTGCTCTTGCAGCTAAGTCGTCCTCCTCATTTTCCCCATTGACCCTTGCCCATCGCCGCCTTGGTCATACCGCCCCCACAACATTGCAACAGATGGCTCGGGGGAACAGTGTACTGGGCTTGGAGATTGGGGGGGGGAACACTGATTGTTCCCCATGTGAGCCCTGCTTATTGGGAAAGTCGGCTCGGAAGCCGTTTCCCCATGAGGCGTCTCGGGCACTTGGGCCTTTGGATGAGGTCCACATGGATTTGTGGGGGCCGGTGCGCACACCATCACTGGGAGGAGCGGTGTATATCCTCAGTCTCATTGACGACTTCACCAGACGAGTTTGGTCGTTCCCCCTCCCCAACAAGGAATCGGCCATAGTTGCAAAAGTCCTTCGCCAGTGGCATAAGGACGTGGAGTTGGAGTGTGGGCGGAAGCTGAAGGCTGTTCGCTCGGACAGGGGTGGCGAGTTCTTGGGGGAAGCTGTAAAAGCATGGAAGGCGGAGTTTGGCATTAAAACTCAATTGAGCGTCGCAGATACACCGCAACAGAATGGGGTTGTGGAGAGGTGGCACAGGACGATGGCAGAGGGGATTCGCACATTGTTGGTCGACAGTGGTCTCCCTGCTCGCTTGTGGGGTGAAGCATTGATGTGGGTCGTGTGGGTTAAGAACAGGGTCACCCACAGTGCTTTGCCTGCCTCCATCACACCAATGGAGGCGTGGTCCGGCCAGAAGCCGCATGTGGGCATGGCTCGGATTTGGGGTTGCATGGGGAGTGTCATGTTGCATGGGCATGAGAAGGGTGGCAAGCTTGATGCACGGGCTGTCATGTGTGTCTGTGTTGGGGTGGACATGGAGAGCAAGGGTTGGCGCATGCTGGACCCTTCTATCATGCGCATTCGCATTGCTCGGGATGTTGATTTCCTTGAGAATGTGATGTGGAAGGATTGGGACAAGGCAAAGGAATTTGGGGAGCTTCTGCAGGATGCAGCTGCAATTTCCCAACTCCTCCCTCTTCCACTCTCGCCACCTTCAGCAACGGCTGACGACGTTGAGATGCCACTTTCACCACTGCCACCGGCACCGCTGAGTGTGTCGGTGCAGCAGCAGCCCACCCCTCTGCAGCAGCTCAGTGGCCCCTCGGTCATTCAGCGGAGATCCGCTACACAGGCTACTTCCTCTTCCTCCTCCTCTGGTCAGCGCTCTATCCCTCTCTCTACGGGTGCCCCTCCGTCACCAGCGACTACCTCCCCACCACCGGTTACGGGTTTGCAGGTGCTTGGTATCCAGTCTGGTACAGGTGGTGAGGAGGTAGGGGGGGATGCTGGTGTGGTTGAGGGCATGCTATGTTTGGCCAGGGAGGTGGAAGGTGTTGCACTGGCAGGTGTGAGCACAGGTGATGTCCCACGCACACTCGCTGAGGCCCTGCGTGGCCCTGAGGGCCCTGCGTGGAAGGCAGGCGCTGAGAAGGAGGTAAATGCAATGCGCACTATGGGTGTATGGGATCCAGAGCCGGTTGACTTACCTCCAGGTAAGAAGGCCATTGGGGTCCGGTACGTTTTCCGCAGGAAAACTGACAAGGAGGATAAGGTGGTACAGCACAAGGTTCGCCTTGTTGCTAAGGGGTACACTCAGGAGCCTGAGAAGGACTATGATCAGGTATTTGCCCCTGTGGGCAAGCTGACCTCAGGTCGGGTGCTTCTTGCAGAAGCCGCGGTAAAAGGGTGGCATGTACAACAGGAGGATGTTGATCATGCTTACCTCAATGCACTCCTTCAAGAGGAAGTGTATGTGAGGCAACCTGAGGGATTTGATGATGGTACAGGTAGGGTGCATCGCTTGCGCAAAGCTCTCTATGGGCTCAAGCAAGCGCCTCGTGCTTGGAATGAGGAGATTGGTACCACCTTGATTGCAGCAGGGTTTGACCGCAGTGCATGTGATGAGGCTCTGTACATCAGGTTTGTGGATGAAGAGCCAGTGTATGTATTGGTGTATGTGGATGACCTCTTGCTTGTGTCTCCACGCTTGGAGCTGATCGGTCAGGTCAAGGAGGTGCTTGCTCAGAGGTACCAGATGAAGGATCTAGGTGAGGTATCCATGTACCTTGGTGTGGAGGTTCGCAGGTCGGTCAAGGATGGGTGGTTGGAGATTGGTCAGGAGAAGTATGTCCGTGGTCTCCAGGGAAGGTTTGGTGATCTGCTGAAGGAGACCCATAGGGTGCATACTCCAATGTCACCCAATGATCTCTCTAAGATCAGGAATGGTACTTGGTCAACTGAGGAAGGTGTTGCAGCTGATGTCAAGGTGTACCAGAGTCTCATTGGCAGCTTGATGTATGCTGCTGTGACCACCCGTCCTGACATGTCTTTCACTGTCAACACCCTTGCACAGTCCTGCGTGGCACCAAGACGCATTCACATGCGCGCTGCACTGAGAGCACTCAGGTACTTGGTCGACACAGCTGATCGTGTCATCAGGTATGAGCGCCAAGGTGGTGAGCAGGTTGTCGGGTACACAGACTCGGATTGGGGTGGTGAGACTGATGGCAAGAGTCGCTCTGCCTACATCTTTAAGCTGGGAGGAGGAGCAATCAGCTGGTATAGCAAAAAGCAAGACAGTGTTGCAGCAAGCGTTTCTGAAGCTGAGTACAAAGCTCTATCGGAGGGGGCCAAGGAGGCCATTTGGTTGAGGAGTCTGTTGGCAGAGATGCATGTGGGGGATGGGGGGGCTATTCCATTGCTCTGTGACAATGAGGCAGCTGTCTCCCTTGCCCACAATCCCGTTCTCCATCAGCGCACCAAGCACATTAAGGTGGCATGGCACTTTGTACGGGATGCGGTGCGCCAGCAGGAGGTCGAGGTGCACTCAGTACGCTCCCACCTCCAGGATGCCGACATGCTCACCAAAGCTCTTCCAAGCTTGCAGCTGCATGAGAACCTGGAGCGCATCGGCATGCGAGTGATTGCTGCGAAGGCCAAGGCTTCATTCGCTGGAGGGGTTGTATTTTGATTTATGGGTGAACTTTAATGCTTATTGGAGCAAGGGGGGGTGTTGGAATTAAGGTTAATTCGGGTTGCTCCAATAAACATATGTAGTGGTACATCTACACTATGGTAGTGTAGAATACATTGGTTGGGTTGGGAGAACTTGTGGTGTACACTCTTTAGAGTGGACCACCTCCCAAACCCTATAGGTTAGGGTTCTCTCTTGTTGGTATTTCACTTTTGGAAACCACTTTGGTTCTAGCATGATTCATGCCCAAGTGGGCTCCTAGGATTCCTAGGCTTTAGGAGGAGGTTCTAAGACTACTAAAGCTTCCGCTAGTATCTTAGTCCATTCTAATACTGTTAACTGGAAGTTCACATTCCCAACAGACTGGCTTCAGGGTAGCTGCAGTAGCACTTCAGGATAGATAGGGTAGCATGGTAGCACCCGCCCTGAAGCCACTGGTACAGGTAAATGACAATTTGTGTTGGGCCTACTTGGTGCAGCATCAAACTCCTAAACTATTGACCATCGAACAGCTGACAGATTGTGAAAGTTGAGACATTGAGAAAGGAGGCAGGAGTTTGGAGATGGGCAATGGGAGATGGGAGAGGAGTTGGAGAGTAGAAAGACAGCAGGCATGTAACATATGGGAGAAAAGGGCTGAACAGGGTAGGTGAGGGACACGAGATATGGGTAGAGAGGGGGTGGGTGAAGGGTGGGAGGAGAGACGTGGGATCAAAGGTGTGTACTGTGGAAGGGGATAGGTAGGGGTGGACGGAAGCGAAAGGTGAGGAAGGAACTTAAAGAAAGATTTTAATACTATTAACTTTACACTGAAAACATGGGGGTGTAGCTCACATGGTAGAGCGATCGCTTCGCATGCGATAGGTAAGGGGATCGATACCCCTCACCTCCAACCCTCCTTTCCCTTTTCCCTTTTCCCTTTTCCCTTTCTCCACATCTCTTCCTCTCTTTTTCCTTTTTGCCTCCCGCATGCCATTGCCTTCATCGCCACCAGCATTTGCTGCGCGCTCGACCGCGCAATCATAGCGGCAGTCGCGCGACATTCTTGCAGCCATGGACCCGCCGCGCCCAGTGTGGTTAGACTGTGATCCAGGTGCGAGGGGGGGCGGGTGGGGAGGGGGATTGGTTAATATTTTCAGGAACAGCCTTCAGTCCCCGTGGCAGTGGCCGTCCGCAGCCAATCTCGCAGCCATAGACCCGCCGCGACCGGTGTGGTTAGACTGTGATCCAGGTGCGAGGGATGGTCCGTCGACCTCATTCTTGCAGCATTCTCTTTGCTGTCCGCGGCGCATTCGCTTTCTCCCCTCTTCCCCCCCTCCCCGCCCTCCCCCCCCTCCGTCGACCGCATTCTCTTTGCTGTCCGCAGCGCATCCGCATCCGCTATCATGCCGCGCCGTGGTTACGAGCTCATTGTGGTGTCCGTGCAACACGTGTCTTTCTGCGGAGATAGCGTTCTGCTGACTCATTGCATGCAATGCTGACGTCATTCTGACTCATTGCAGGCCACGATGACGCCATGGCTATCATTCTTGCCGCCCACACCCCCTCGCTGCACCTGCTTGGCATCAGCACTGTTCACGGCAACCAATCAGTGAGTGCCATTTGTCAAAGAGACCCGTCTGCGCTTCTTCTGGCTTTAACTCCCCTGCTCTGTCCTCTTCAATCCGTCCCGCAACATTGCGCCAAGTCCCAATGCAAAACCTCACCCCAATCCCACATTCTGCCGCCCACCCTGCAACCCCCAATCGTGCCAGGTGCAGAAAGTGACAATCAATGCGAGGCGAGTGCTGCTGATGTGCGCGCGACCCGACATTCGTGAGTGCTGTTGGGGCTGGTTCCGATCTGGGCGGCTGCAGGGCGGCTGTCGGGCGGCTGTCGGGCACCTGTCGGGCGGCTGGGGCGCCTCTCTCTAGGGGCGCCTCTCTCTAGGGGCGCCTCTCTCTAGGGGCGCCTCTCTCTAGGGGCGCCTCTCTCTAGGGGCGCCTCTCTCTAGGGGCGCCTCTCTCTAGGGGCGCCTCTCATGCTGCTTGCCTCCTTGCTCCCTGCTTCTTCACCACCAGCTGTGTTCTGCGGGCAGGCCTCTCCTTTAATGCGCGCCAGGCAGCACTGCGCTGAGGGAGTCGGGGCTGGATGGGCCAGACAGGGGAGAGACAGCAACTCACATGCCTCCTTGCTCCTCTCATGCTGCTTGCCTCCTTGCTCCCTGCCTCTTCACCACCAGCTGTGTTCTGCGGGCAAGCATCCCCCTTCATGCGCGCCAGGCAGCACTGCACTGAGATCCACGGGGAGTCGGGGCTAGATGGGCCTGACTGGGGGGAGGGGGAGGCGCAGGGGGAGGGGGAACGGGGGAAGGGAAAGGGAGGAGGTGCAGGGACGAAGGAGGACGGAGAGGAGAAAGGCAAGAGGGAGGAAACCCCACTATGGGGGACGGCAGAAGAGGAGGCAGAGGAAGTAGCAGAAATCAAGAGGGAAACGGGTGGGGGTGGGGTGGAGGGGCGCAAAGAAGGGGACGAAGATGGGGATGCGAGGGGAGAAGGGGTGGGGGAGGAGGAAGATGTGCCGACAGTGACTCACATGTATCGCCACATTCGACAAGCGTTTCTAGAGAGGCAGGCAGCGTTGAGAGAGTGGAAACAGGGGACAGAGCCAAGTGACTCGAACAGCAAGCAAGGGGCAACGAAGGCAGGGGCAGCTGAGGATGGGCCTTTAGCCAAGAGGAGAAGGGAGGGGGGAAATGATCATGTGATAGGGGTGAATGGGGCAATGGCAGATGGCGCAATCACAGACCGGGCAGTGGCAGACGGGGCAGCGGTGGTAAACGGTGGTCCCCCAGCTGCTGACACAGCGCATGCTGTCGCTGCTGCTGCTGTTGGCACCGCTGTTGGCACTGCTGTTGGTACCACCGCTGCAGTTGTGGGAGGGGAGAAGAAGGAAATCTGGGAGGGGCGGAGGGAGAGGGTGGCGTTGGTGTGCACAGGCAGTCTCACCAACGCTGCTCTGCTGCTCACCGTGCACCCCCTGGTCAAGAGCATGATCGAGGTGAGTGGGCATTCTGAGTGGTGTGTTGCGGTGAGTGGGTGTTGTGTGGTGAGTGGTGAGCGCCTGATGCGGGGTGTCTGGTTGGGTCAGCAGTTGCGGAAGGCTCTCAACCTCTGCTGCTCACAGTGCACCCCCAGGACAAGCGCATGATCGAGGTGAGTGGGTGGTGTGAGGTGGTGAGTGCACAGTGTGTAGGTGGATTAGCTGCCATGGATGTGCCGAATCGTGGCAGGGGACGAGGGAGAGGATGGCTCTGCTGTGCACACTGCTTTCCCGGGTCAGGGGATTCCGGCCGAGGGGTTGAGAGGGGTTGAGAGGGGTTGAGAGGCTGTGGTCATGCCAAGCGGGCCTCATTGCAGATGTGAGGACCAAGTTCGGTTGTTCCTAAATGCATGCTTCCTTCCTTTGATTTCCTCCCTCTTCCATTTATATTCCTCTCGCCTCTCTGCCCCCCTTTTTCCTCCCTCTCCCCTCTCCCCTACCCCCTCCCGCCCCATGCGAACATCTTCACGTCCTTCTCACATCTCCCGTCACACGCCAACACGAACAACTCACCAAGATTGTCCTAATGGGTGCGTGCCACCCACTGCAACCGCTTGTCACCGCACTGTTTGTTTCCCCTTGTACTCTTCGCCTTCATGACTCTTCCTCCCCTGATCTGCCTTATTCCTCCTGCCCCATTCTCTTCTTCCTGTTTCCATGTCTCTCTCCTCCTCTTTACTTCCTCGCTACCTCCTTCCCCTTACAACTCTCCCATCCCATCCCCCTCTTCTCTCTTCTCGCCCTTCACTCCTCACCCTCATCGCCCCACAGGAGGAGCTCTTGGTCTCGGCAACACTGGTACGACTCCAGTGGTTTAGTTTAGGGTGCCTAGGCCTCCTTGCACCACCTTGCACCTCCTTGCACCTCCTTGCACCGGGCGCCTTGCACCTCTTCGCATCTCCGTGCATCTCCTTACACCTTTATCCTTCACCCACATACTCTGTTTAGTCACTCTGATTGGCTCCATTCACCTCTCATTGCATTCCTTGTTTTCGAATCAGAGGCATCACTTTTGCTTTCAGAGATGCCTCAAACCAGACTACTGCCTCTCTCTTGTTCCCGCATTTTCCTCTCTCTTGTTCCCGCATTTTCCTCTCTCTTGTTCTTGCATCCGCATATCCTCATCTTCTTCTCGCCGACATCACATTCCTGGCAGGCCCAGTAGCGGAGTTCAACATCCAGGTGCGGTGGAGTGGGGTGGGGTGGGGTGGGATGCAGTGGGGATGGTACTGCTGGGGTGGAGAGGAGGTGGTGCTGGTATCATGCGCACTGATGGACTTCAAATCGTGTCTCCCTCTTGCCATGCGTTCCTGGCAGGCCCAGTAGCCGACTTCAACATCCAGGAGCGATGCAGGGGGGGTGGAATGTAGGGGGGAGGGGGGGGGAGGAAAGGGGGGTGGTGGGATTCATGTTGCTTCCCCAATATCAAAATGCAATCCACTGCGGCCCTACCCTCTCTCTGCCCTCCACTTCCCTCCTATCCCTTCTCCTTCTCGTCACCTCTCTTTCCTCTTCTACCGGTTTCAATCGCTCTCGTCACACTTCGATTTCCCCACCTTCTTCATTTGCCTTTCCCCTCCTCCCCTCCCCTCCTCCCTTCCTCTCCTCCGCTCCTTTCCTCCCCTCCCACCCTCCCCTCCTCGCCTCTCCCCTTCCAGTGTGATCCAGAGGCAGCCTCCATTGTGTTCAACAGCGGCTGCCCGCTCACAATGGTACCCCTAGAGGTATGCAGAACCGCACTCAAAGCACTGTCCTCATTCCCACACTCAGTCACACCCGTCTTGATACGCATACCAGGGTACAAAGGGACACCCAGAATGTGTTCAAAAATGGCTGCCCGCTCATCATGATGCCTCTGGAGATACGCAGAACCACATGAACGGTGCAGTCCCAATACCCATACACACCCACATCTATATCCAAAGGAGCAGCCTCCAGTGTGTTCAACAGCGGTTGCCCACTTACCATGGTACCACTGGAGGTGAATTCTTCCTCCTTATGTCCCCTCCCTGTCAACATGCCATTTTAACTATCATGATCTTCCCTCTCGCACTGCTCCACTTCAGCCTGCTTCCATCTCCCTTCCCTCCATCTCACCACCCTCTGCCTTACCCCTCGCGTCACTCACACGGCCGTATCTACCCTCCAGCCGATGCTCATGTCCCGTCGCCTCTTTTAATTGGGACCTCTGCCCCGGCCGTTACCTCCCCCTTGAGGTCACGCACACCGCCCTGCTCTACCTCCCCCTTCAGGTCACGCACACCGCCCTGCTCTACCTCCCCCTTCAGGTCACGCACACCGCCCTGCTCTACCCGTCAGTTGCTGCTCGCATCTCCTCTTGTCCTCCTCACTGCCCCATCTGCGCCCCCTCCTCCACTCATGCCGCTCCCCCTCCTTCTTTAGCAACCATATATAACTTTGCTGCTGATGCCACCCAAAGCACTGATGGTTCTGCTACGGCTGTAGCCGCTACAACTGCTGACGCCAGCCTCACAGCTCCCAATGCCAGTGCTGGCAGCTGCCTGGGCTGCTATCGGGGGAAAAAACTCCGGCAAACAGGTGAGCTTTGAGTGGACTAAACATATGCTGCTACAGCCGCCGGTGATTCTGCCATCCAACTCACACGCCATGCTGCCAGTGCTGGCGGGTGCCTTGAATGCGATAGGGGGAGAAAACTCCGACAAACAGGTGAGTGACACGTGGCTTGGCGCGACTATACGCCCATCGAGTGCCGAGTGAACAAAAAGCTTTGCGTTCTGCTGTTGGGACTTGCTTTCGGAACGAATCTTGCAGTCCGTGCCTTGATGCACTTGCAGTCCGTGCCTTGATGCACTTGCAGTCCGTGCCTTGATGCACTTGCAGTCCGTGCCTTGATGCACTTGCAGTCCGTGCCTTGATGCACTTGCAGTCCGTGCCTTGATGCACTTGCAGTCCGTGCCTTGATGCACTTGCAGTCCGTGCCTTGATGCACTTGCAGTCCGTGCCTTGATGCACTTGCAGTCCGTGCCTTGATGCACTTGCAGTCCGTGCCTTGATGCACTTGTTCCCTCATACGTACCCCTCCATGTGTTGGGCTTTCAACACCTTCCACCTCTACACTCCTTTTGAGGCGCCTCAAAAGGCTTTCAACACCTTCCACCTCTACACTCCTTTTGAGGCGCCTCAAAAGGCTTTCAACACCTTCCACCTCTACACTCCTTTTGAGGCGCCTCAAAAGGCTTTCAACACCTTCCACCTCTACACTCCTTTTGAGGCGCCTCAAAAGGCTTTCAACACCTTCCACCTCTACACTCCTTTTGAGGCGCCTCAAAAGGCTTTCAACACCTTCCACCTCTACACTCCTTTTGAGGCGCCTCAAAAGGCTTTCAACACCTTCCACCTCTACACTCCTTTTGAGGCGCCTCAAAAGGCTTTCAACACCTTCCACCTCTACACTCCTTTTGAGGCGCCTCAAAAGGCTTTCAACACCTTCCACCTCTACACTCCTTTTGAGGCGCCTCAAAAGGCTTTCAACACCTTCCACCTCTACACTCCTTTTGAGGCGCCTCAAAAGGCTTTCAACACCTTCCACCTCTACACTCCTTTTGAGGCGCCTCAAAAGGCTTTCAACACCTTCCACCTCTACACTCCTTTTGAGGCGCCTCAAAAGGCTTTCAACACCTTCCACCTCTACACTCCTTTTGAGGCGCCTCAAAAGGCTTTCAACACCTTCCACCTCTACACTCCTTTTGAGGCGCCTCAAAAGGCTTTCAACACCTTCCACCTCTACACTCCTTTTGAGGCGCCTCAAAAGGCTTTCAACACCTTCCACCTCTACACTCCTTTTGAGGCGCCTCAAAAGGCTTTCAACACCTTCCACCTCTACACTCCTTTTGAGGCGCCTCAAAAGGCTTTCAGCACCTTCCACCTCTACACTCCTCTCCCCTCTGCCTACCCTCTCCCATTCTCTCCCTCCAACCCCTTTCCCACATCGCAGTCTCTGCGTTGATGCATTTCTTCGCCCGCACATACCTTGAAGTGTTTGGTTTCCAGCACCCACCCCTACATGACCCCTGCGCTCTCGCCTTCGTCATTGCCCCGTCTCTCTTCAAGGTACGGTCCTACCAGCCTCCACTCAGGTTTCCACCATCTCTCCACCATGTTTCCGCCATGTCTCCACCACTCCCTCCTGCACGACCCTGTGCTCTCGCCTTCGTAATCGCCTTGTCTCTCTTCAAGATAAAGCCCCATAATCCAGTGTCTTACCTGCATTCCCTCCCTCCACACCAACTGACCGCACATGTCTCAGTGTTCCGCGTTCGCACATGTTCCATATCACTCCCCCTGTGCTCCTCACTCCCCTGCGCTCATCACTCACCCATTCACACACCCCCCATCGCTCTGCCACCTCCCTGTCTGCAGACGGAGCACCTCCGAGTCGACATTGAGACCAAGAGTGAGGTGAGCCACTCCTTACTACTCTTCACCGCTCCTCACCGCTCCTCACTGCTTCTCGCCCCATTTCACCGTTCCAAGCCCCTTGCTTTTGTGACCTTCCTGATCGCCTCAACATGCAAAGAAAAGCACATCTGCACATCACATCAGTTGTCAGCAGGCCAGAGACAGTTTGTGACGTGTGATTTCACAGCTGCACTGCATTCTCCCCACTCTTCCCTCCCCCAATCCGATAGCACAGCTGCTCTGCCCTCTCCCCACTCTCGCCCTCCCCCTCTCCCTATCCACTCCCACCAAGTCCGTCCCCAAACCCCCCCAGCTGTCAGCATGGCAAACTGTGTGTGACGAGGATGGCTTCTGCTGCACTCCACTCTCCCCACTCATGGCCTTCCTCCCTCTCTTTCCCCCTCAAACCATGTCCATCCCACCTCCCTCCAGCTCTCAGCAGGGCAGACGGTGTGTGACGTGTGGAGGCAAAGCAAGCGGCCAGCCAACGCACATGTGGCTCGCAGCATGCACGTGGATGGATTCTGGGACCTTATGGTTGCTGCCATTGACCGTGCTGCCACTGCTGCTGCTGCCACCGCTGCTCATAGTGCTCATGCTGCTGCTGCCGCTGCTAATCTCCACAGCCATTGAGCAGTGTCGCTGCACTAGCAACAGCAAATGAAATTAGTTGTTCTGGTCGTTCTGGTCTTCACATCACAACTGAGCAAGTGCTCACTCAGCTGTGCTGCTGCAGCAGCGTCAGCACATGGAATTGCTCAGGTCGTTCTGGTCTTCATACCATAACTGAGCAAGTACCTACTGATCGAAACACGATTCTAGCTTTAGCAGCACCCTTCTACTCTCAAATGGTCCGTTGTATTAATTCAGCAGGGGTACGGACATGCAGTTCTATCCATGATAACCTCAATCCCATAAGCCCATCAACTCACCCTTCTTCCCCTCCCCTCCCACCTGAGTGACCCTCTTGCCCTCCAGCCCTTCTCTCTCTCTCTCTCTCTCTCTCTCTCTCTCTCTCTCTCTCTCTCTCTCTCTCTCTCTCTCTCTCTCTCTCTCTCTCTCTCTCTCTCGCTCTCTCTCTCTCTCTCTCTCTCTCTCTCTCTCTCTCTCTCTCTCTCTCTCTCTCTCTCTCTCTCTCTCTCTCTCTCTCTCTCTCTCTCTCTCTCTCTCTCTCTCCACCATCGTATGTTATGGATTACATGCGTACGTACATTTGTTGCTTGCTGCTGCTGACCACCTCCATATTTAATGCATACACTACAACAAGCCTGCATTCGCTTTCACCTCCATGCGGTGTTCGGTGTGACGAGGTTTTTGTGGCCCGTGTAGTCACCACTCGGATCCCGTCATCGTCAGGCAGAAACATAGTCAGGCAGAAACATAGTCAGGCAGAAACATAGTCAGGCAGAAACATAGTCAGGCAGAAACATAGTCAGGCAGAAACATAGTCAGGCAGAAACATAGTCAGCAGAAACATAGTCAGGCAGAAACATAGTCAGGCAGAAACATAGTCAGGCAGAAACATAGTCAGGCAGAAACATAGTCAGGCAGAAACATAGTCAGGCAGAAACATAGTCAGGCAGAAACATAGTCAGGCAGAAACATAGTCAGGCAGAACATAGTCAGGCAGAAACATAGTCAGGCAGAAACATAGTCAGGCAGAGAAACATAGTCAGGCAGAAAACATAGTCAGGCAGAAACATAGTCAGGCAGAAACATAGTCAGGCAGAAACATAGTCAGGCAGAAACATAGTCAGGCAGAAACATAGACAGGCAGTTAGGTGGACACATAGTCAGGCAGAAACATAGTCAGGCAGAAACATAGTCAGGCAGCAGGCAAACATAGTTCAGGCAGAAACATAGTCCAGGCCAGACACATAGTCAGGCAAGAATAAGAAACATAGTCAGGCAGCAACATAGTTCAGGTGCAAGAAACATAGTCCAGGCAGACAGACACCCATAGTCAGGCCGAAACCTTAGTCAGGCAGAAACATAGTCAGGCCTAGAAACACTAGTTCAGGCCCAGACCTAGTCACGGCAGACAAACAATAGTTCAAGGCCGAAACATAGTCAGGCCGAAACATAGTCAGGCCAGAAACATAGTCAGGCAGAAACATAGTCAGGCAGAAACATATTCAGGCAGAAACATAGTCAGGTCAGAAAACCATAGTCAGGCAGAAACCTAGTCAGGCAGAAACATAGTTCAGGCGCAGAACGATAGTCAGGCGAAGCAGAACCATAGTCAGGCCAGAAAGTCCAGGCAGACAACATAGTCAGGTCAGAAACATTAGTCAGGCAGAAAACCATAGTCATGGCAGAAACATAGTCAGGCAGGAAACCATAGTCAGCTAGAACATATCAGGCCGAAACCTATAGTCAGGCAGAAACATAGTCACGGCAGAAACATAGTCATGGCAGAGGAAACATAGTCAGGCAGAAACATAGTCAGGCAGAAACATAGTCAGGCAGAAACATAGTCAGGCAGAAACATAGTCAGGCAGAAACATAGTCAGGCAGAAACATAGTCAGGCAGAACATAGTCAGGCAGAAACATAGTCAGGCAGAAACATAGTCAGGCAGAAACATAGTCAGGCAGAAACATAGTCAGGCAGAAACATAGTCAGGCAGAAACATAGTCAGGCAGAAACATAGTCAGGCAGAAACATAGTCAGGCAGAAACATAGTCAGGCAGAAACATAGTCAGGCAGAAACATAGTCAGGCAGAAACATAGTCAGGCAGAAACATAGTCAGGCAGAAACATAGTCAGGCAGAAAACATAGTCAGGCAGAAACATAGTCAGGCAGAAACATAGTCAGGCAGAAACATAGTCAGGCAGAAACATAGTCAGGCAGAAACATAGTCAGGCAGAAACATAGTCAGGCAGAAACATAGTCAGGCAGAAACATAGTCAGGCAGAAACATAGTCAGGCAGAAACATAGTCAGGCAGAAACTTAGTCAGGCAGAAACATAGTCAGGCAGAAACATAGTCAGGCAGAAACATAGTCAGGCACGAAACAGTCTGGCAGGTAGGGCTCTCATTATCAGACCAATTTGGTCTGATGGTCTGAGTTTAAGACTTGATTTTTTGTATTCATCTGCTTCCTAAGAATCTGTGTTTGTTCTCATCTGATCAGTAAGATAAGCGTTTTAGGTTCGTATGATTTTTCCAGACGTGTAGAATTCTTAATCTGAATATACAGATGTCGAGTTCGGTTTCGTCTGAAACCGACATCTTGACCCACTAGGCCATATGCCTAGTGGACCAGAGGATAGGACCATAGGTACGGCCATTTGCTGCTCTGTAACAGCACGCGCATTCAATACGCGTGTCTTATAGCAGCCTCGCTGTCATGTAACTGCGGCATATGCTGCCAGGAGTGTGTCGTGTGGCTGGCTGTCGGCGCCGACGCCAGCCACAGCCACGGCAACGCGTTGCCCCGTTGTGCCACTGCTAGCGCATTTGCATTTCCTAGACGTCACGCAACATTGCACTGTGGTCGTAGTGGCCCCCGCTCCCAACACGCAGCGCCTTTCGGTTCTGAATGCAGTGCAGGGTGATGGGGTTTCATGCAGCTGGGTGAGGCTTGAAAACAAGCCTGTTTCTCCTGCTTGTCCTCAACTCTCACTCAGCCGAGCATGGACCGTATCCCTCCCAGCATCTGATTTCCCAGCGTTTAGACTATGGCCGTCCTTGCCGGCGGACCATGCGATGCGGAGCCCGTGCTTACGGCGTTAGACTTCCTAACGCAGGGCAAGCAGATCGCTTCTGTTGCCCCACCGATTGCGTCGACCTCTACTGCGGTCCCTTTGCCCGAAGGCGATGCTCCAATCTCGGTAAATGGCGATCATTCCGTGCCATCAACCGCTACCCCTACTACGCTAGTAACTTCTCGAATGCCAGACAATGGTGAAAATAAGAGCATTCCTGCAGTATCTGTCGCTACTACCTCTCTCAGTGCTAACCCCGTCTTGCCCGAAAGATCATTAAAGAAGCGGTATAGCAGCGGGTTCTTACCGCCGGACGTCCGGGCGGTCCGACTCAGCCAGCACCGTCAGTTCTTCCGCCTCCCGCAGAGCCTGCACCCACGAATGAAGACTTCGAAGATCCGAAAGTCAAGCAGCTGTCGGTTGAGGAGCTTCAGTTGAAGTGCAAGCAGCAGTGGCAGCGGTATTTTCCTTGGCTTCTCATCTCCGAAAACAAGGCCGGCCGCCCCTGCATGCGCTGCAGCGTCTGCATGGTCTTCGGGGACCCCAACTACAAATACGGGCACAACGGCGATGGTGGCATCGACATTAAGAAGCAAACGATGTGCAAGCATCACCATAGTCTGAAACATGAGGCCACGGTCTTGAGGAAGGAGGAGCGCGACGGTGTGAAGAAAGTGCAGAAGTCCATTGCTGACTTCCACCGGGGGAACGATGATGTCGAGCGTCTTGCTCGCTTGATGGCTATCGTGTTATTCATTTGCAAGTCTGATGCTCCCATTGTGCTATTCGTGGCTTTGGTTCAGTTCATGGCAGAGCAGGGGACTTCGGATCTGCCCCTGAAGGAGAACGGGACGTACTACAGCGAGTAAGTGTCCCGTTCAAAACTTCTGCTTTGTGTTCAGTGGGTTTACAATACTATCGAGTTTTAACCCCGCGTGTCTCAGGTATGGCTTCGCACAACTGGTCAAAACCATGGTGTGCTACCTGAAGTCCCGCTAGCTGAAACACATCCGCGATAGTCCGTACCTTGGCACCCAGTTGGACGAGAGCACCGACCGACGGCGGGGGAAACACATGATCGTCTATTTGACGTTCATGCGTGACAACGCTCCCGTCACTGAGTTCTTCGCCTTGCTCACTGTGGATCAGTGTGACGCCGCATCACTCACTACAGTTCTCTTGACTCATCTGGAGAGTACCGGCATCGACCTGATGCGCCTCACCGGTATGAGCACTGATGGTGCTTCTGTCATGCTTGGACAGCACAAAGGAGTCACCGCGCGCCTCAAAGTCAAGGTTCCTCATCTTGTGTCGTCCCACTGCATCGCGCACAGGTAAGTTTGTTGCTTCGTGTTTTCCATACTTTTATTTTTTTAATACCCGTGCTAATGTTACGTTCCATTGTCTTGCAGGGAGGCCTTGGCGGCCAACGATGCTGCCGCCGCGCATCCGGACTTCAACATCGTGGACAAGGTGGTCCGTGCCGTAGCAGAGAACCTTGGTCGCTCTTCTGTTAATCACGCCCGCTTTCAAGAGCTTCAGGAGGTCATTTGCCAGACCCACCTCGAAGTCCAAGGCATCAAGGACGTCCGATGGTTGTCTCGTAGTGACGCCATCCAGCGCCTGGTGAAGGTGTTTCTGCGGAGATAACTGCAGCAACGGGAGCTAGGCTGCGGGCTAGGCACGTGTGCTCGTGTGATCTCTGCGTTCGTTAGTCCTTAGTCGTTTTCCTTGTGCACACACTACTTGTCAGAATCAGCGAACAGGAATGAGTGAACTAGCAGTGAAAATGAGTACAAGTAGGAAACCCTAGAATTGTGTACCCCCTATAGGCTAACCCACTGTAGCCTACACAAGCAGAACACATATAATGTTTGACACACCCCCATAGGCAAAGTGGGGGAGAACAAGGGGTCACAAGACCAGTCAAGCAAAGGAAAGCAAGCTCAGGGTGGATCACAAAGTCACCACACAGTCCGAGCACAAGAGCAGGGCCAGAGGCCAGTTCACATGCAGGAGTACAGACACATATATATATATAAAACTAGACAAGCAAGAGCAGATATATATATATGTCACAGTACAAGTGAAGTCAAGAGGAGAGCAAGTGAGGCAAGACAGGCACAAGACCCAGCTGGGTGCAAAAGCGCTGATGGTCACAAGGCGCGAGTGCCTTGGTGAACACATCAGCAGTGTTGGCCTCAGAGGCCACGTACGCAAGTCGCAACTGACCACGCTGCTGCAGCTCACGAGCAAGGAAGTAGCGGAGAGCAATGTGCTTCGTTCTGTGCTCCAAGCGCTGCTCTCGACACAAGGCCAGCATGGCCTTGTTGTCTACGTACAGCACTGGAGGAGAACGAGGCGGCTCTCCAAGGTCAGTCAGCAGGTAGGTGAGCCAGCGAAGCTCCTGTGCAGCCATGGCCCCGGCGTAGATCTCAGCCTCACAACTGGAGCCGAGAACCGAAGACGAGC